CATTGATCTGGTATCCACTATTCTAAATAAAAGCCAACTGAAGGCTTTATGTGAGGAGTGAACCTGCAGCTCACTCCACTGTACAAATAATTTCAATATTTTTGATTCTATTCTATCCTAAAGATGACTCTCAGATATCCTTTATTCTTTATGCAGGATATTGTGTGCCAGCCTGCTGCTGATAACCTAATCCAGGCATTAATTACCCTCTATGTAAAGAAATACTTCTTAACATCTGTCCTGAAATTGTCTGTCACAATTCTCAGCCAATGTCCTCTTGTGCTGCTACCTCGATGTACCTTAAAGTATTGTTCTGGGCCTGTGCAAATCATTCCCAGTCTACCTCAACACTGTAGTGTGTACAGTTCTGGTTACCACATTGTAGAAACAGTGCAGGAGGGTACATGTGGCAAACACACAATAGTGCACAATACAAAATCTACACAGAGCCTTAAGGTCAGTAAAAATAAACTGACAAAGGAGTAAGGCCATGTACAGATAGGGAGTAATATGAAATGTGTTTGTTATTGGGCGAGGGTAGAGAGAGAAAAAAATGGAGAAAAGGTCACCTTACCGTAGTCATTTGCATAGCAAAGGGAGAGACAGGAATCTGTATGTATTCTCGACCCGAAAACAGGATGAGGAATATAAAGTCCTAAAAAAAGGAAGAAAATCATTTTAAAATGGAGTGTACAAAATATCATATAGTATACAGTTCTGCAGAGATTGGAGTCCGTTACATGAAATTGGCAAGAAACATACAAGCCTTTCACTATGTACTCTCGATAAGACAAGAAGGCAATAGATTAAAAAAGTAACTACAGCACAACCAGTCAACTGTAAAATCTTTGTTCGGTATAAACAACTGCACACAAAAAAAGACGTCTCCCACAGAGATAAGACACATTAGCCACAATAATTTAAAAAAGCTAAACACCAACACACATCTAATTTAAGGTCTCCTCCTATACAATAACAACAAAATTACATTTGTATAGCGCCTTTCACGTCGGGAGGACGTCCCAAGATCCTGGACAGACATACGGACCCGAGCTGAGGGTTGGGATGGGAGAGGGTGGAGGGCAGGAAGATCCAAAGCACGCTCGAAGAGGAGGGTCTTGAGGAGGGTCTTGAAGGTGGCAAGGAAGGGGGCGAGATGGAGGGACTGCAGGATTGAGTTCCAGAGGATGGGTGCAGAGTGGCGGAAGGTCCACCCGCCGATAGTGGGGCAAGCAAGGTGGGGAATGTGAAGCAGGCCGGACGGAGCCCGCTGAACGGAGGGAGCGAACAGAGTGGTAGGGGGTTAGGAGGTCGGAGAGGGGGAGTAAGACCGTGGAGGATTTTGAAGGTGAGGACCAGGATCTTGAACTGTATCCTCTGTGTGATGGGAAGCCAATGGAGTTAGGCAAGGATGGGAGTGATAGGGTCGCGGAGCCTAGTGCGGGACAGGACACGGGCTGCAGTGTTCTGGATAAGTTGGGGAGGCCGACAAGCAGTGAGTTTGCATTGTCGAGCCTCAATGTAATGAGGGCGTAATAATAATAATAATCCTTGCATTTGATATATTGTCTCTGCCTTCCCTCACCCCTACACACCCCCCTCCCCCATGCTCGGGCCCCGACCCCTGACTGTTCAGCGCTCTGGGATGTCCTCCCGATGCGAAAGGTGCTCTATAAATGTAATTTTGTTGTTGTTGTCTTATCACATCATTGAGACTTCTCAAAGAGAGTCACAGAATATATTGTAAAGTGGATTGATGACTGTGTGTTTTGTGGGAGAAACGCGGCTCACAGTAGTGTTCCACAAACAGTCAAACATTGGATGAAATTTTTTTCTGAGGGGGGGGGGGGGTGTTCGGTGGGGATATTACCCCCGGAAAGTAATCCGCCAATCGACTAACAACCGTTTCCTACTTACTGCTAGGAAATTTGCCTAAGGTTTTCCTCACCCAGGGAACTCATAGAATCATAGAATTGGACAGAAGTAGGCCATTCGGCCCGTCGTGTCTGTGCTTGTTCTTTGAAAGAGCTGTCCAATTAAATCCCACTTCCCCACTATAGAATCAACCCTAATTGAATATGGGTCCTTTCACTTGCGACATGAACGCACTAACAACTGCATTACAGGATTCCATATGATCAGTACTAATAACAGAATTCTGAACGTGAGATAACTTCAGTTCATTTCTCCAGTTATAACTTTAATATTATTTTGCTCCCCCTTTTCTGCAACAAATTAGCATCTCACCGGGGGTGGGGGGGTTGAGTGGGGAGGGAAGCTACGAATGCATCAGTGCACGAGGTCACCACATAGCTGCAGAGATTATAAAATAAGGAAGAGGGCAAAACTGTGACCAAAAATGAAACAATTCAACAATGTTGTATCTGTGTGAAGGTTAAATCAAATCTGTGGAGGAATTTACCACAAGATTATCAACGGGTTCCATTGCTAACAAAAGAGACGCCTTTATTCTCTTATTCTCTGAAGGACTCTGCAAGGTCCTGTTGTAATGATATTTGGCTCATCTTGGTACATAAATAAATATTGCATGTTAAAGAAGAATTAACTTGTCAGGTGATGTTGGGAAGTGATTTTGTCAGCAATGAAACCCAAATCAACCAGCCTCGTGCTTTTGTATTAATGAATGCTCAAAGCATAACTTGAATAAACATTAGTTGTACTGTACTAAGTGCAGGTCCAACAAGTGAGAGGATGCTAGTTCAATTGGTCATGAGTTGCATTGTGAATAACCATTAGCCACTTTCCTTTTTACACTGCTCACTGAATCAAATGCATTGCCCTTGCATTTTATTGCTCTACCCTTCAGGCAACTGCACTAATTAGTTTGTTTGTTCTTAACCTCACCTGAAGCCTTGATAAGATTGCATTTTTATTGCAGCCACCTACATTTAGTCCATTGCAACATCCCCTGTGTGTTATTTCCTCTTCTGACCACATTTCAAATAATAATAATAATAATAATGCTCAAGATAAGAAATAACAATGCAGAGGTTGAAGTCAGACTAAAAGTGACTGTAATATTTCCTATTTTGTAAACTTTTTCCAAACGTCCCTTCTGATCTCCCTTTTATCAACACATAATAATAATAATCCTTGCATTTGATATAGCGCTTTTCACGTCGGGAGGACGTCCCAAAGTGTTTCACAGAACACACTGTAAAGTGAATTGACTGTATATTTGTGGGCGAACGCGGCAGCCAATTGCGCACAGCAATGTCCCACAGACAGTCATGGATTGAAAATGACCAATTTATTATTGTTTTTGGTTTTGGAGGGATTATTATTAGGCTCTGTGTGGAGTAAGGAAACTTGCCCGAGGTTTCGCCCTCTGCCTGGAATTGAACTCAGGTCTCTCACTTGCAAAGCGAGTGCTCTAACCACTGAGCTACTGGACTCCACAAATCCCCTTCAACGGGGAGGGGTAAAAAAAAGAAGGCAGCCATGGTTTCTACTCATGTTTCCGTGATCTTTGCTGGAAAGTGTACATTAGAGAAGACCATGACAAGCTCAGCTGTGGTGTCCCTTCAACATCTCTCTTTTCCTCCAGCTGTTCAAGGGACCGCTTGCTTTTTGGGACTTTTGATTTTCAATCCACGACAGTTCAATGGGACACTACTGCGGGGAATCGGCCTCAGCGTTTCACCCACAAAAAACAGTCGATACACTCTACAATATACAGTATATGCTGTGACGACGACGCAACGACGTGATGCGGTGCGACGTCAAACGTGAGGATCGTTACGGTCAACAAGTCACTCTGCGACCGTCCCCACACCCTGCGATACGCAGCACGCATTCCTCGGGCGCTTTCCAGAGGTCAACGTACAAATAATCGCGTCACTGGATCCACCGCTGTCTGCGGGACACCGCCGCGCGCAATTAATTGGCGACCCCCCCCCCCATTTCACTGACGACGTACAGTCACTACACTTTACAGCGCAGCTCCGAGAAGCGCTCGGGAGGAGGCGCAGTGCGGTGATTACAGCCGCTGTGTGAACTGCAAGGATTATTATCATTACTACTATTACTGGCATCATCACCTGCCGTGTCGGAAGCCCAGTCCTCACATCTACTACTGCGCTCTGTGGGACATACATTCCTCCTGAGGTCTCAGTGTCTTTGGCTCTCAAAATGGAGTCTCTGAACTGCCTCTCAGCCACTCTGCGGGCGGTGGGCGGTGGGGGGGGGGAGAGCTGAGGGGGAAAGCCCAGACATCTCCCAACACTTTGTTGTTCCGTTCAAAAGAGCGAGTGAACACCATGAGGGGGAGGGTCGGGGGGGGGGGAGTGGTGGTTCTGTCACACGAAACGAACACCGCCGTCTCTCAGGTCCTGTCTGAGCGGGAATCGGGCGGTTTGGGGCGGTTGGTCGGACGGACACACACGCCCACCCACCCACTGCGTGCCTTCCCATTGGCCTTCTCCAATGCCAGTCACCGCACGGTCCTCTCCCATTGGCCGGCTCGCACGTCGATCCAATTAACGGTCCTCCCCCCCCACCACCACCACCACCACCCGCATATTCAAAATAAGCCCCGCCCGTTCTTCCGGTCGCAGCCAAAAAAAAGCCCGCGCGAGCATCTGTCAACCGACTGGTCGCCGCACGTCAATCATTCACCGTTGCTGGGGCGATGAGGCGAGGAGCGGCCCATGCTTCTCCCTGATTGGTGGAATACGCCGAGGGTGCCTGTACCTGACTCGTGACTGGCTGTCGCCACTGTCAATCACCCCCCCCCCAACCCACCCCAGTTGCAACAGCAGTTGTGCGGTTCAAAAAAGCTGTGTGTGAGGCGCGCGGGTCCCGTTAAAGTCGTCTCACTCTCGCTCGCTCTTTCTCGAGCCGCTGAGAGCTGCCCAGCCTTTGCTTCCCCTTTGTAGTCGGGGTGGGTGCGAGACGAGTCCCCCCCCCCACCCGCGTGCGCCAACCGCGTGATTCCGGGGCTGGGGATGGTGACGCAGAACGCTGCGCGGTGACGTCGGAGGTATAAGAGGCGCTGACGCGGCGCCGGCTGGCAGATGGCGGATGGTTCGCATCGGGTACGGAGTGTCCCGCAACGTGGTGGCGGTGGACGACGACCAGCGTCAATCGGCTTGAAACTTTCTGCCGGCGTGACCGAACAGTTCCCGCCTCGGAGGCCTGGGCGCGGCGTTTGAGGGGGACAGGCGGGTTACATTGGCGGGCGGGCGGGCGGACTCTCCGCGCCCCCTCGCGAGTTTGTTCTGGAACCTTCGCCCTCAGGCCCCGACTGGAATCGCGTCGTCAATTGGTAAGCGGGAGGCGATGAGGAGAGAGAAGGCCGCGAGCGCGCGCCTCGGGTTTTTCGACGCCGTGGCAAACCCGGGGCCTGGTCTCCGGAGGGGTGGGGTGGGGGCTGTCTTCCGGCCGCGCTGTCTCGTTGAGGAGGAGGAGGAGGAGGAGGACGGCACTCGCGCGCTCACATTTCGGGACGATGCCGCCGCCGCCGCCTCCATTCATTCCCCCGACCGGAAGCGGAGGTTCAAAGGGCAGCAGACAGCAGCTGGTCTGAGGGGGTGTGGGGGGGAGAGAGGGGGTCGAAGAGGGACGTGTGTACACACGAGGAGAGACAATGTGGGCGCGCGTGTGCCGACGCGAGAGGCGCGTGGATCTGAGGGGGAAAAGGGGCAAAGGGTTTTTTTTTTTGGGGGGGGGAGGTTTATGTCTACGAAAGGCTGAGAGGAGAAGCCGGACACTCATGTATGTTATACTCAGATATAGGTGGTGGGTGGGGGGGGAGAAGAGAATGTATGTTATACCCAGATATGGGGTGGTTGGGGGGGGGGGGTTGGATGGAGGGGGGGATGTGGGGGTGCAGGAGGGGTAAGCGGTTGGGTAGTTTATGTACGAGGGGAGGGGGTTGTGTTATACCCACATCATGTACTGGAGGGAGGGAGGGTGAGGGAGTGAGTAGGGGCGTTGTATATTGTGGAGAGTGGTTGAACTTAGGGAGTGAGGAGGGGTGGTGGTGGGGAGGGGGTGTGTGTGTGGGGGGGGATTTACACGCCAGGAAAGCGTTGGGCGTCTCCACTGAACGTCTGCAAAGACCAGTGAGCGTCCTGTCTCTTCCGAGGAGAACTCCCGGAACAGGATCTCAGCAATAAACCCATATAATAATAATAATAACAATAATTAATAATAAAAATAAAAGGAACCCTGCTGGCTTTGGCAGAGCAAAGTGGGTCCGAATCCTCAAACCCGTGAGCTAATGTATGGGTCCATGTGGGTCGGTGCTGCCGGGCGGTAAATCGTGACCTGTCTGTGTGTCAGATGCCGGTGTTTCAGGATCTCGAACCGACATTCTCCCCCCCCCCCCCCCCTCCCTCTGTGTATGTACCGCCGTTTAGGCGGGTTGAGGACGCTTGGCGGGAACTTGCTTCCTGTTTGCTGGTGTTTTGAATTATGGCGAATGGGGGGAAAACCCATTTCAAGTTAGAGGTCGGTTTGAGAATTAATGTGCAACGGAGACCCGCGTTTCCAAGCTTTTGCAGCTCCTTTTAACACGTCTGATTCGACGCACAAAGCTTATTCCCGACGAGCACCTTACCCGGTCTCCCCTTGTCTTTAAACCACGTTTTCTTTTCTCAATCGAATTTGCTTCACCGTATAATAATGTTGGTGTTTGGTAACACCTTATGTTGTAGAGATGTCTCACCAAAGTGCTTTAAAGGATGTGCTGTCAAGTGGATTGACTATGTTCGGTGAGAGAAATGACATGTAATAAAAATAAACCTTTCCTTTTCCAATTCTTTTTGTTGCCTGTAAAGTGTACTGGAATACCCCCGGATTTCTGACTGCTTGCTCTCTATTATTATCTGCATTAACTTTTGTAAACCGTTAAACACTAAGTAGACTAAGTAAGATTCAGTGTGACGGATTGTGGTTTAGTATTCGGTGCAGTCTTAACTAGTTACCTTCTAATATATTCTATAATCCTAGAGACTATTATCCGGGACAAAATAAATTTTCACTTAGAAAAGTATGGGTTAATAAAGGACAACCAACACGGGTTTGTTAAAGGCAAATCGTGTCTAACAAACCCGACAGAGCTTTTTGATGAAGTAACGGAGAGGGTGGATGAAGGTAGAGCAGTTGATGTAGTTTATATGGATTTTCAAAAGGCGTTTGATAAAATGCCACATAAGAGACTTGTGAGCAAAATAGAAACTTATGGTATTAAAGGGACAGTAGCAGCGGATACAGAACTGTCTGGGAGAGCCTGGCGGGTGGGTCGGTAACCCGGGGACATCTATTTAGAATAGTTGTTGAAAGACGCAGAGGGGGAGATGAGGAGACATTTTTTTTCACACAGCGAGTTGTTTGGATCTGGAACACATTGCCTGAAAGGGTGGTGGAAGCCAATTCAATAACCACTTTTAAGAGAGAAGTAGATAATTATTTGGCGAGGACAAGTTTGCGGGGCTGTGGGGAGAGTGCGGGGATTGAATTGAAAGCTCTTTTCAAAGAGCTGGCACAAACACGGTGGGTCGAATGGCCTCCTTCTGTACTGTATGATTCTATGATATCAACAGATCCTTAAACTACTGGTGATTTATCCAGGCTGTTGCACAAACCAGTAAGGAACTGAATTTCACAGGATGTATCCTAACTGCTCGGGCTTTTGACTGCTGGTTTTAACTTGTCCATATTATAATGACAGCAAATATATTACTATGCCAATGCGGATGCTCTTGGAAGGATTCCTTTTTCTTGAGCTCCTTTTAAAGAACAATCCTGCCCTGTGAGATAGTGTTTCCACATTCCTAGAGAGTTAATTGTCACGCAGTTAAGATCAGGAATGCCTGTGTGCCATCAAACTGGCCATTTGCCTCTCAGGGAAAATGGGTAGACATTACATATTTTACAAAATCGAGTTGCAGTAAAATCTCAAACTTGTTAGTATAATTAATAATTTGGTAACTCAATCCACAACTGTTTGTGGGACACTGTGGTGTGCTGCGTTTCACCCACAAAATTTACAGTCACCAGACTTTGCTTTATATACTGTGAACCACTTTGAGACATCTCAACGACATGATAGGGTACTATATTAAATGCAAGGATTATTATTTTAATGAGTGTTAGTGACAGCAATCCAACACGTAATTATATAGCGCCGTATGTATGATGAAAATGGGGTAGGATAAGAGGAGTAATATCTTTATGCTGGAAGATATTAACTAGCTTTTGGAATCTATGGGGACAGCTAAATTGCCTGAAATTATGACTGTGTGTTTATCGTACGTCTCTGCGCTTTCTCCACAGGATGAAGAACAGCCCAACTCTACATCCACGATGCATCTCTCTTCAATCTCTCTAAGTGTTCAGTGTTGTAGACACTGTTTAAGACGGACTTTTAAGCACAGTGGATAGCATTTACTGCTGCACAACATTGGAGTGCAGTGCTTGTTGCTAATCAATACCCCGTTCCCCCCTATTTAATTAGAATTATTTATTACATATCAAGCTATTTTGTTACCTTATTTTGTATATTTAAGTCCATAGTATTTTTTTAAAACTCCGTACCTACCAACGAAGCGTGACCAGAAAGTAGGCATGGCCGTCGAAGAGTATCTGTGGTTGGCGATAACTGGATTCATCATCGCGTTTGTCCTGGCGTTCTCGGTGGGAGCCAATGATGTGGCCAACTCGTTTGGGACAGCAGTTGGTTCGGGAGTGTTGACGCTGAGGGAGGCCTGCATCCTGGCATCCATCTTCGAGACAGTCGGGTCTGTGCTGCTGGGTGCCAAAGTGAGTGAGACTATCCGCAAAGGAATCATCGATGTGAACATGTTCAACTCGAGTCAAGTGCTAATGGCTGGGTCAGTCAGTGCCATGTTTGGTGAGTTGAACATCATGTGTGGTTTGAGTAAACAGAGTCCATTCAGCTTTGATACGTCTCGACGACGTGATAAGGCGCCATATCAAGAACAAGGATTATTATTATGGCTGATGACTTTTGCTTGTTCCCTCAGGTTCTGCTGCCTGGCAGCTGCTGGCTTCATTTTTGAAGCTCCCTATATCAGGTACTCACTGCATTGTGGGTGCTACTCTCGGCTTCTCCTTGGTGGCGACAGGGACTCAAGGTATCAAGTGGATTGCTTTGCTCAAAATTGGTAAGTTGTTAACTGAGCTGAAATGCCTCTCTGTTAGTGCTCATCACCTAGATAGACCCTAACCATTAGTTGTTAAAGAAAAGGTACCCCAACGCACACTGCAGTCCCCAAGCTTTGGCTCATTGACGGGACCTAGAAGGGGAGACCTGTCACTGGGGCCAGGGAATCCTCCCACTCAGCTCCTGTTAACCCTGCAAGCCAAAGCCCTAATTGATAGGATGGTCCGAGCTGGACAAAGAGTGGTAAAGCTTGCCAGGCAGCGATATCGATGGCAAGCTATGCCATTTTAGCTGGTTAGACTCCGGCAGTTACCCTAATGCACACTCTGGGCTCCACACCCCCCACTTCCAGCCTTGGCTCTTGGCTATCACTTTCTGGAGTTAGGTAAGCAGGATGTGTCCCTTCACACAGAGAGGGAGAGTGCACATTCCATTCCAACAATCTATCTGGAATTTCCATGTGTAGGTGCCAAGCTTATTCTGACGTTGTTTTGGTTTCCTCTCTGCTCCAGTGGCTTCCTGGTTCATCTCCCCGCTCCTCTCCGGCATTATGTCTTCTGGTGTCTTTTTCATTGTTCGTTACTTCATCCTGCGTAAGGTAAGGCTGACAATTCTAGGTTTGTGTTCAGAAAACGATAGCATTGTATAGTGTGACTTGTCCAGTTGATTGGAGCCAAAGTGAGGTGGTTATCTCACACCTCTATTAAACACATTGTCGAGTGGAGTGCTTTTGTTTGGGTTGCAAACCTTGTGCTGTAATGTCAAAACCTGGCATAGATGCAATGAATTTAAAGGCCAACTTCTGTGCAGTACATTGGAGACTTAACCAGTTCCACGTACAATCTTTGGATAGTTAAACTGAACTGTTCATCTGTTCCAGGCTGACCCTGTGCCAAATGGACTCCGCGCTCTTCCCATCTTCTACGCCTGTACAATTGGAATCAATTTGTTCTCAATTATGTACACTGGAGCACCTTGTAAGTAACAGCAGATATTTGCAGTACTTCTGAGGGCCAGTTCTGTTATTTGAACGTTATTTAAGGGGGCATGATTATGATAGCCTGTTTCTGTCTGTCTGGCTTACTGCACAAGATGGCCAACTTCTGGGTCATTAGGTTGCCTTCACTTCCTAAGTACACAGGAGACAGCATCTTGAAGAGGGTCAGCTGGCTTTCAGCTCACTATTTGGTGACGTTAAACCGAGCAGCCAGGCTGCCTGTGCAGATGGATGTTAAAGATCCCATGGCGCTATTCAGGAAAAAAAGGAATTTCTCTCTCAGTGTCCTGGCCAACAATCCACCAGATAAAGTTGGTCCCTCTGTGACTGTTTGTGGGACGTTGCCTTCACTCTCCCTTTCTGACTTTCTCTCTACATCTGTTACTCCATGGTTGTTTGTGGGGCACTGCTATGCGCAATTGGCTGCCATGTTTCACCCACAAAATAGTCACTCCACAGTATACCCTGTGAAGTGCTTTGACAAGTCTTGATAAAACTTTCTTTTGAGGCTTATGAGAATGATGGGAAGTGGTAGATAAATTTTTAGCGTTTAACTAAAATTATGACTTTCATTCCACAGTGCTGGGATTTAATTACATTCCGCTCTGGGGGACGGTACTGATTACGATTGGGAGCGCTCTAATCACTGCCATTGTTGTGTGGTTCATCATCTGCCCCAGGATGAAGAAAAAGATAGAAAGTAAGTAACATTCTAATGCTTCAGTCTGTGGGGTGAATGGTGACCTGATAGGGAAGGGTGGTACCTGGCAAAAATCTTCCCTGTGTGAACTGTTCTATGCCATACAGGTCAGTATCTCTTGGTCTTATCTAGATTAGTTGTTTAGGGGTAATAATCCCTTCACATTAAGCACTAGAGCTGTGATCTAACAAGAAAATGTTGAATTTGTAAGAAAAAATAATAATTTGGTCGCTCATTCCATGCCTGTTTGTGGGACACTGGTGCGGGCAATTAGCTGCTGCGTTTCGCCCACAAAATACAGTCACTACACTTTCTGTGTATATTCTGTGAAGTGCTTTGAGACGTCTCAAAGACGTGATCAGGCACTTTTATCAAATGCAAGTATTATTGAGTGGGCTAACGCGGACTCCTTCGTCTGAGTCCGTGACACCTAGCGAGGCACGTTTCAGCGTGGAAGTAACCCATTTGTTTTCTCGATGCACAGCGATGGCGGTTGAAGCTTGACAAGGCAGTGTAACTGTGCCCAACAGGAGAGAAGAGAGCGGATTACAACCAGGCCCTGGATAAGCACGACGAAGAGGTGTACCAAGGAGAAGCCAAGGAGGATCTGGAGGCGAAGGTGTTGTTGGGTGACGGGGCGGTGGCTGAAATGAGCGTGCCTCCCGTGGCCGGGGGTTCAGATATTCTCCCCCTCGATCACAACTTGGAGAAGCCGAGCGGGAGGATTGCGTTTATCGGGGACTTGCCAGAGGACGCGGCTAAAGACGGCGGCTTTGCCGAAGAGACGAAAGAAACCAACGTCGACAACGTGATGAACGGTAGGTCACTGCGGCACTTCGATGTGGAGAGAAAAAAAAGACCTGTTTTGAGGTTATCTATTTTAAGGTCGTCTCTGACGTGCATCGTTTAGTAGGTCGGGGACTTAACCTGTTCCGTACCAACCCGTCCGTTCAGCGGGCTCCGGCTCGCTCCACATCCCACCATCGGTGCTCGGGCCTTTAGCCTCTCTGCCTCCACCCTCTGGAGCTCCATCCCACAGTCCCGTCACCTCGCTCCCTCCCTCGCCTCCTTCAAGACGCGTCTCAAGACCCTCCTCTTCCGCCGCACTTTCAGTCGCCCTCCGCCTCCCGATCACATAAACAGTGATCCCGCCCACTGCTACAGTAAGGGACGGTTACCCTGTCCTCTTTAGCGCCTGTGATAACAGGTGTGTTCGTCTGTTGCAGGGACCATGCACTTTGGAAGCAATAACGCACAGTTTAACCAGGTGGTTAGTAACCAGACCAGCACCAATGGTTACAACGGCCACTATCACACCGTGCACAAGGATTCCGGGCTGTACAAGGAGCTCCTCCACAAGCTACACTTATCCAAGATGATCGACTGCGGTGGAGATTTGGCCGACGTGAACTGTAAACCGCTCAGGCGAAACAACAGCTACACGTGCTACACCATGGCCATCTGCGGCATGCCCCTCAAGCACAAAGAAGCAGCAGCCAAGGCCGAAGAGATGGAGAAACTGACTGGATCCGGCTTCGAACCCAAGAAACGCATCCGTCAAGACAGCTACAGCAGCTACTGCAACGCCATGGCTCACTCCAGCAAAACCCCGGAGGGCGAGGTGGTCACGGTGGACGTGGCGGCGGAACGCAAGTGCAGTGATGGGTCTCTGGAGGATTGGCAGGAGAAGGAGAAACATGAGGTCTCGCTGCTGTTCCAGTTCTTGCAGATCCTGACCGCCTGCTTCGGCTCCTTTGCTCACGGTGGTAATGACGTCAGGTAAGCAACATACGGATCATTTGGCCCACAAAATATACAGTCACTCCACTTTGCAGTGTATTCTGTGAAGCGCTTTGAGACGTCTCGATGACACGATAAGGCGCTGTATCAAATGCAAGGATTATTATTATGGAACCTCGTTATGACTATTTAGACCATTAAGGGGGGAACCTGAGGCAAGTTTCCTTACTCCACATGTTTACCTGATTAGTAAGTAGAAACCTGGTTGTTAGTCGATTGGTGCATCGCATTCGGGGGTGAAGGTAATAATCCCTCCAAAGGAAAAAACAATTTGTCCTCCAATAATATTAATCTTTGCATTTGATATGTACCTTATGTCGGTGAGACGTCTCAGTGCTTCACAGAATGTCCTGTAAAGTGAATTGATTGTATGTTCGACTGTTTGTGGGACACTGCTGCGTGCAATTGGCTGCCACGTTTCGCCCACAAAATATACAGTAGATCCACTTTGAGACGTCTCAACGACGTGAAAAAGCGATATATCAAATGCAAGGATTATTATATAACCTTCAGGCTGGCTAGTCCTTGCTTCAGTGTATCACCTGGGTTTGGGACTGCACTTTTCATTCTGTTTCTACTTCAACTAACCTGTATGTTCATTGTGTCTTGTGATCCTCAGCAATGCGATTGGACCTTTGGTTGCTCTCTATATCGTTTACTCCACGGGGAGCATTAATTCTGAAGCTGATACTCCCATCTGGATCCTGTTGTACGGTGGGGTGGGAATCTGCCTGGGCCTGTGGGTCTGGGGTCGCAGAGTCATTCAGACCATGGGCAAGGACCTGACTCCAATTACCCCCTCCAGGTGAGCCGAGAGTGGGTGAAGTGATCTCCTATGTGGTGATTGGTTTGGGGAGTCTGCTTACACTTAAATACGGTTTCCCACATCTAGTTGGCCTTTTTGCCACCTATCAAAACTCGTCAGTGGAATATAAGATGAGAAATGTTAGAAATGCTCTGCGTATCCTCTACCCCCACCCTCTGGAAATCCATCCCATAATCCCTCCGCCTCACTCGCTCACTCCCTCGCCTCCTTCAAGGCCCGTCTCAAGACCCTCCTGTGATAATCCATGGATAAAGCAGTCACTTAACTTCAGACGTAAAATGACAGCTGAATAAGTGCTGGGAAAACTAATTGTGTGTTTTCTTCCCTCTGCAGTGGTTTCAGTATTGAGTTGGCCTCAGCCGTGACTGTCGTGATTGCATCGAACATTGGTTTTCCTATTAGTACCACACACTGCAAGGTGAGTGTCTGTCTGGCAACTGAGTTTCTACAGTGACTAAACTATGTAGCCTCTCAGATGAAATTGAATGCTTTTTCAGTTAAATGAAGAATCCAACCTGGGAATCTGAATTGAGATTATTGAAGACCTTCCTCTTCGACTGCACCTTTGGCCACTCTGCCTGCCCCACACCCTCCCTGATCCCAACCCCCCCCCAAGCTTGGGACCAAATCCCTGACTGTCCAGGGCCTTGAGACATTCCCTTGATGTGAAAGGCGCTATACAAAGGTGCAGTCGAGGAGGAAGGTCTTCAATAATCTCAATTCAGATTCCCAGGTTGAATTCTTCATGTTGTACCCACTCCGCTATAAGTACTTGGCGATCTGTGGTGTTTTCGATAGTGGATTAATAATACTCTGAGCATTGTTATTGTCAGCCCAGCCTGTCTGTCTGCTCAGCAGGACTTGGAAGGACAGAACAGTCTTTGGAGTTCATGTTGACTCATTCAGGGAATCCCTCCTAAAATATTTCATCATCTGCCTCTTCAGCTAGACCTTAAAGATCCCGTAGCACTATTTGAAAAGAGAAGGGAGTTTCTCTCTCTCTCTCTCCTGGTGTCCTGGCCAACAATCCCCCAAATCAATTCACTACATAGCTGTTTATGGGACAAAAGTGTCCATAAGATTAAATCCTGCATTTGCCCACAAAATGGTCACTGCACTCGAGTGCTCTAAGACACTCCCCAGAGTGAGAGGAGCTATTTAAATGCAAGTTGTTGTTGTCGTTGCACTCCAATATGAACAGTGAAGTGCTTTGAGCTATCCTGATGTGAAAGGTGCCACAATCCAATGCGAGGATTAATGAATTTGTGCCAGTTTCTCCTGTTGTGAGCTGTTTTTACAAGTCTGCCTTTATTACTGGGTCTTGTCAAACCGTGAAGTTCATTCAACTCGATGTCTTTTCTCTCTCTCTCTCGCAGGTGGGTTCGGTTGTCGCCGTGGGCTGGATGCGAGCAAAAAAAGCCGTGGACTGGCACCTGTTCCGTAACATATTCATCGCATGGTTTGTCACCGTGCCCATTGCTGGTTTGATCAGTGCTGCCTTCATGGCTCTCTTCAAATATGTTATCTTATAGATCAGGGTGGTCCAACTGGCAGCCCACGGGTCGAATACAGTCCCCTCCCTCCATCTCACCTGGCCCGCCCGCTCCCTCCATAACCTGTAAATGTTATGTTTCTGGAAGGGAAACACAAAAATGTTGCTTTTGCAGCCTGCGGACGTTCCTCAAATAGGGTTTGCACCCGGCTCCCGGCAGCCAAAAGGTTGGAGCACCCCGGCATAGATCAACCGCGCAACCAACCAACCAACCCTGCGTTGTACCATGTTCAGAGCCCGATGCCCCATTATCCTGGCAGCGTGCTTCAATAGAGCTTTGATCCTGAGTCGAACGTGCAGACTGTGCGTCTGACATCTAATTGTTCCTCGAACCCTTCTCAATGTATTAATGGAGTCCAACTTGCTGAGTATGTGCTGTAGAGATTTTACAATGACAAACTTAAGTTTAACTGTCTTGAGCTTTGTGGCGCTTGAGTACTCATTTCTGAGCCTTTTTTTGGTATGAGTTTCATTTTGAGCGTTTCATCGATGCATGTATTTTTTATTAAGGCGAATTGCTGTTTAACACTGTGAACTATAATTAGCTGGTGAGCAGCTTTTTGTAGATATTTCTCACTTGAAGCAAGTATTGAATAAAGCAATGGTCAGCGATGTTGATATTGTGATGAACTGAAAGGCACTCAGTGCTGACGAAGGAACCAAAGAGGTGGGAGGATCAAGTGTGAGTCAAGCGCACACAATTGTTTTACAAAGTCTTCCATAGAAATTTCAACTTAGAATCAATTACCCATTTGTAATTCAAGTAAAGATACGTGTTTTCATTAAAGATTGGCACGCCTTATTTTACTAGTCTTTTCCATCTGTTTCTTCAAAGCTTTGTGTGCTGATGCCCAAATGTAGCACATGGAGTCCGCAGTGTAGTGGTTAGAGGCCTCGCAAGCAAAAAGACCTGGGTTTGACCTTGGGCGAGTTCAAGCTCCAATGTGTGGTCAAGCCCCAAAGTGACCCTCACCCTCTTAACTATATTCTAGTCTTAACTGGTTCAAAATGTTCACAGCTTCTGGGTGGTGGCTAAAGTGACTAAGTATGAAACCAAGCTGCGCTGCACAGATAAGAAAATGTCCTTGACAGCTGAGATTTCTGATCTCACTCAAAAGCACCACTGGGACTCTTGTAGACCTCAGTTCTATGTGGAGTCTTGTAGCTCAGTGTTTGGTTCAATTTCCAGGTGGGGCGAAACATTGAACAAGTTTCCTTACCCCACACACATGCCTCTGTTTATCTAGCAGTATGTAGGAACATGTTTGTCAGTCGCTTTTCCGGTGATCCCTTTTTTAAAAAAAAGATAATAATTTGGTCACTCAATCCATGACTGTGTGGGACACTCCTGTGCCTTGAGACTTCCAGTGCCTTGGGATGTCCATCCGATGTGAAAGGCTCTATACAAGTGTAATTTTTGTTGTTGTTGTTGCTGTGCACAATTGGATGCTGTGTTTCGTCCTCAAAATATAGTCAATTCACTATAGTTTATTTTAAAGCGCTTTGAGACGCCTCAATAACATGATAAGCTGTTATTATTATGTCCTGATGATCTATCCTTCCAGGTGTCAGTGAGCATCAATTTGACATTTCTTTGCATGAGCAGCAATGAGTTAGCTTAGGGTTGCTGAACAAGGTCAAAGCAGTCTTTAAGGCTTTGGAAAGCTTATCCTTACAATGTCAGTAAGCAGTCACGTTTGTTGGATGCTCTCAGCTTTTCTTAATTGAATTGCATAAGGCTTTGTGGCCAAGCATTGCTGAGCAGTCACCAGCTGTCCATAACTGGATGAAGCATGAAAACTTCTCTGAGGAACTCACTGCAGCTGGGGCCTCATTCGTCTCTGGCTTCTGTATTCTGCAGTGTGATCTAAGTCTTATTTGCTGCATTTTAAATAGGGTCAGTGTCCGCCCGCCCCCCCCCCCCCCCCCCAACTTTGCAGCCGTTTTCCAAGCAAACAGGGCAAACAGTTCTTTTGCTGAAAGTGAGGAATGTTTCCTGCAAGCCAAAGCCCTAACGGGTAGGGCGGTTCTAGCTGGATAACCAGTGGGAAAGCTTGCCAGACAGTAATATCCTTTGCAAGTTATGTGGTTTTAGCCGACTAGGCTTCAGCAATTATCCCAACACACACTCTGGGGTGCCCCCAAGCCTTGGCTCTTGCCAACCTGTGCCTAATACTTTGCGGAATTAGGTGAGCGGGACGATTCCACCCAGAGAGAGCTGAGCTCGCACATGTCATTCCAACAATCTCTGGGATTTCCATGTGTAGGTGGGATGCACAGGGTTTGAGCGACTGTCAGCTGATCAAAAAAAAAGTGAGGAAAGGTTTCCCACACATCAGCTGGGATAGTCAGAAACTAACATTGCCAGGAATTAAAATACATTTGTAGCCCAAAGTGAACCAAATAGCTGACTTATATAGGTAGTAGAGTGGCCAAATTAAGTTAGTGCTTTCGAAACTAACGGAAGGTCTGGGTTCAAGCCCCCCACCCCACTTCGGGACTTGGAATCACACAGGCGCAGCTGATGCTCCAATGCAAACGCTGGGGACGTGTTGCATTGTCGGAAGTTCCTCCCTTCGGATAAGGCATTAAACCTGTTCGGGAGGACGTTAAACCCACTGCGCCCGCGATGCGAAAAGAGACGGGGTAGTGGGGGTGGGGTTCTCTCTCCCAGTGTTCCTGGCCAACAAAACAACTCCTCCCCCCCCCAATAAAATTGGCCGCTCACTCCACGACCTCGCGGGACACTGCTGCGCGCAAACTCGCACAGTCACTCCACCTCACAGTGTCATCCCCTGAAGCGCTTTGAGGCGTCTCGACGACGTGCGATGACGCGGACACACACTGCCTTTATAGAGCGCCTTCCACGTCGGTCGGTCGGACGTCTCGAGGTGCGGAGGAGGGACGGCGTCAGATGCGATGATGATGGTGATGATGATTATTCCAAAAATAACGACCCCCCCCATCCCCTCCCCTCCGCCAAAGCCATTTGGTGTCAGACCCCAAACAGCGAGTGGGGCGGGAAATAGCCCGATGGGGGCGGGTTTCACGCCCACAAAGTAACGCCCAACGCCGCGCCGTATGTGACCCGGAAGCGGAAGTGAGGTCCACCCCCGGAGCGCGAGTGGAGAGGCCGGGAGGACGCCATCATGGCGGATGTCACTGCTCGCAGTCTGCAGTACGAGTACAAGGCGGTGAGTGGAGAGGGCGAGAGGAGACGGGGAGTGAGGGGAGGGGGAGTGAGGAGAGGGGGAGTGAGGGGAGGGGGAGTGAGGAGAGGGGAGTGAGGGGAGGGGGAGTGAGGAGAGGGGGAGTGAGGGGAGGGGGAGGGAAGGAGAATGGGAGGAGAAAAGAAGAGCGGGCGAGAGAGGGAGAGAGAGAGAATAACGGGGGGGAGAGAGGGAATGGGGAAGGATGGGGAGAATGAGGGATGGAGGAGTTAGAGCGGGAATGATGAGGGAGGGAGGGAGGGAGAAGGAGGGGAGGAATGAGGAGAGGTGGGGGGACCCGGAGCCACAGAGAGAGAGAGAGGGGAGACACACACACACACACACACACACACCAGGGCCTGACACCACCTGGGGCTCCAGGTCGTGTTTGCTCGGAAGCGCCCACAGGTCTCTGACTCCCCTCCGGGGGGTGGGGTGGGGGGAGGGAGCGGGGGGGGGGGGGGGAAGCTGTCCCGGCCGCCTCTTCAGTCACTGATCCCGTCCTCAGCCAGGAACCGGCCCCCACCTCGCTGCCCAATCAGCACTAAAAAACACGCAGTCACTACACTTGACCGTATGTCCCGCGAAGGGCTTTGAGACCTCTCGACAACGGGATCCGGCGCTGTGTCAAGTGCAGGGATTGTTATTGAAATAATAATAATAATAATAATAACAATAACTATCCTGGCATTTGATATAGCGCCTCATCGCGTTGTCTCAAAGCGCTTCACAGAGTACACTGGAGAGTGTAGTGGTTGTATTTTTGTGGGCAAAACACGGCAGCCAGTTGTGCGCAGCAGTGTCCCACAAACAGTCGTGGATACATTACATATATATATATAAATTACAATTATACAGCACCTTTCACATTGGAAGGACGTCCCACGGCACTGGACAGTCAGGGCTTTGCACCCGAGCTGGGGGTGGAGGGTAGGGGTAGGTGGGTGACCGAAGGCACACTCGAATAGGAAGGTCTTGAGACATGCCTTGAAGGAGGGGCAAGACGGAGAGACTGTGGGATGAAGTTCTAGAGGGTGGGGGCAGAGAGGCTGAAGGCCCGACCGCCAATGGTGGGGTGGGCAGAATGGGGGATGGAGTCCGCTGAGAGAGGGAGCGATAGGTTGGTAATGTTTAGTAAGTCAAAAGCTTGCAAGGAGCGTTGAAGTCAAGTGGTATAAAAGATTCCCTCCTTTCTATGTTAATCGTGGCATATTTCCTGAAAAAGAAGGGATTAGACTATTGAACACTATTCAGTGCTGGCGCCAGCTGAGATTCTTTCCTTCACTCTTATTTACAGAACTCCAACCTTGTATTACAAGCCGATCGCTCTTTGATCGACCGCACCAGAAGAGATGAGCCGACCGGAGAAGTGCTGTCGCTGGTGGGGAAGCTTGAAGGTTCCAGAATGGGAGACAAGGCGCAGAGAACCAAACCACAGTTGCAGGAGGAGAGACGGGCAAAGTAAGAGTTTCAAGGCTTGGAGACATTTGATGGCTGTTCTTCATGTGGCATAAATAAATAACCAAATCATTAACACAAAATTCTTACATGTTGAAGTTTACACTGACTCTCAATCCATTATTGGTAACCCAGCACAGGCCAAGTAAGAACATAGGAACACCCTCACACCAATCCTCTGGACTAAATACAGTTAGACACTTGTACTGAATACAGTGAAGTACTTCTAAATGCAATTATCATCATTCTTGCAATCATCGTGCGTTCAGAAAGCAGAACGTATCCACCAACATGCCACCCAGCATGTGGTGATGCAAAATTGGGTCACCATTGATGTCTGTGTGCTGAGGTGCTGCTGTATTTAAATAGTTGCCGTTTAAATGTGCTTTTTTGCTCTGGTTACATGATCACATACGTACTTGGCTTTCAGTGTCCTCTCTGTGGCTGATTGATTTGTTTGGGTTGTGCTGTGGTTAATCACACAGGAGGAGGAAGCGCGATGAAGACAGACACGACATGAACAAGATGAAAGGCTACACTCTGCTGTCTGAGGGCATCGATGAGATGGTAGGGATCGTCTACAAACCCAAGACCAAGGAGACCAGAGAGACCTACGAGGTGCTCCTCAGCTTCATCCAGGCTGCCCTGGGAGACCAGGTAACCAGGATGTCAGATAACACATCAATAAGTGACATTTACACTGCGACTTTAATGTCAGGGGGATATCCCAAGGGGCTGGACAGTCAGGGATCCTGCACCCGAGCTGGTGGTTGGGATCAGGAGGGGTGGCGGGCGGGGCTAGGAGGGTCACCGAAGGCACAGAGCTCAGTGCACTCACGCACACAATAATACATCATCACCACTCCACTGTGGAGCTCAGTCACTGGGATTGCCTCCTGGTACGCCAGTAAGCTGGTGATCTTCCTGTTTTCTGAGCATCGTGAAGCCCTTTGAAATGCCCTCCATACCTGCAAGGCACGAGACAAACCGTAAATTGTTGTACAAAGTTGACAGAAAACCGATCCAATTATTGGATCCTTATTCCTTTGAGGTTTTATAAATTTGAGTTTTTTTTTATTACATTGAGTTTAAATTGTCATTTGAAATAATTGAATTTAAACTTAATATTAATAATCCTTGCATTTGATACATCGCTTTATTACATCGTCGAGACATCTCAAAGAGCTTCACAGAATATTGGTAGGTCAGGGTAGCAATGGATATGAAGCAAAGGTGGGTAATTGGAGTTGAGGTACAAATCATCATGATCTAATAGAATGGTGGAACAGGCTTAAGGGGCTGAATGGCCTCCTCCTGTTCTAAGAATATACTGTAAGGTGAATAGACTGTATAGAGCTTTGGTTTGTGGGTTGACCGGCCTTTGTGTCCCAGCCGCGTGACATCCTGTGTGGAGCGGCCGATGAGGTTCTGGCCGTGCTGAAGAACGAGAAGCTGTGGGACAAGGAGCGACGGAAGGAGATTGAGATGCTGCTGGGACAGCTGGAGGACACTCGCTACCACGTGCTGGTCAATCTGGGCAAGAAAATCAGCGACTACGGTGGGGACAAGGAGGTGCAGAACATGGGTACGTGGTTCAACAGCTTGTGACAAGAGCTTTAATTCCCTACTTCTGTTACTTCTTAACACCGTATCATACTGATCTGGTCCCTCCACTCCACGTCCCCCGCCCGTCCCATCCCATCCCACAGTCCTTCCACCTCGCCCCCTCCCTTGCCTCTTTCAAGACCCTCCTCTTCGATGGTGCCTTCAGTCACGCTCCTAACTCCACCCTCCCTGCCCTCCACCCCTCCTGATCCCAACCCCCAGCTCGGGTCCAAATCCCTGACTGTCCAGAGCCTTGGGACGTCCTCCCGACTTGAAAGATGCCGTGTAAATGACATTTGTTGTTGTTTGTGGAGTTTCTCTTGATGCTTCTCTCTCGTAGAATGAATGACACGGTACAGAAACAGGTCAAACGTTATCTCTGCCCCTTGAATGTCACCTTGTTCCCCCTTTTCTTTCCCTCTCGCTTCTGTGTCCTCGCTTCTGTGACCTCGCTCTCAGACATTAGCAGTGAGTGAACGTGCCTTTCTTTTTCAGATGACAATATTGATGAGACGTATGGAGTGAATGTGCAGTTCGAGTCTGATGAAGAGGTGAGTGAAGTCACATCGCAGGTTTTACTTGTACCATCTTCATTGCAGTGATTGAGGGGAAGGGAATGGAAGGGTGACATGTACGGATGTGGTTGCCTTGCCTTGTGGTTTGCCATCTGTCCTGATGTTCCCGTTTCAGGAGGGAGATGAGGATACGTATGGAGAAGTGCGTGAGGAAGCATCGGACGAGGACACTGAAGGAGAGGAAGCGGACATCAGCTGCACACTCTCTGCCAACGTGAGTTAGAGACAGACTGACCTGATTGCTGCTCGGCTGACTCCGGCTTCCTGCTTGTCCCTCGTGCCCTCTGCTGCACTGTTGGTGGCCACGCTTTCAGCCACTACGCCCTGAAACTCTGAAACCATCTCCCTCGGTCCCTCCGCCTTGCCCCCTCCCACCTCACTTTCGTATCCCGCCTAAAGACATTCCTTTTTGATCGTGCTTACGGTCACCTCCCCCTGCTCTGCCACTGTGGTTGTTGTTATCTTTGTGGATCGTATAATCGCCTAAGTCGTACAACTGTTCAAAGAGTTTATATTCTATGCGAGCTTAAAGTAACTCGTACTTTACAGAAGTCATATTAAATGTATTGTCCCGACTGATGTGAGGTTCACTCTGACGTTTCCTCGGTTTAGTTGGGGACGACTGGGAGTGTGCTGAGTGCTAAGAAGAAGGATTTGCACCCGAGAGACATCGATGCTTTCTGGCTGCAGAGACAGCTCAGCCGCTTCTACGATGACGCCATCATGTCACAGAAGAAAGCTGATGAAGTGCTGGATATTCTAAAGGTGGGACATGGGCCTGACAGGAGGACCAGCCGCTGGAGGGGCTGTCTAGTCTGCGATTGTGGAGGGGGGGGGAGATTGGGACCCTGACATGGGACAATGATTAGCAAGCACCTCCTGTATAATGTCAGCTTGTACCGTGTGGTTTAAGATTCATTGTTGGGTGGTTCCTTAGGTGGGCATCTCCACTCATCGGGCTCCGGCCTGCTCCATGTCCCCTGGGCCTTCAGCTTCTCTGCCCCCATCCTTTGGAACTCTATCCCACATTCCCTCTGCCTTGCACCCTCCCTTGCCCCCTTCAAAGCCCATCCAAGACCCCCCCTCTTTGACCGTGCCTTCGGTCATCCTCCTACCCCCACCCTCTCTGCCTTGCACCCCTCCTGATTCTAACCCCCGGCTTGGATCCAATTCCAATACAGTCCAGTGTCTTAAGGCGCTTTTACACAGAGCCCCTCCCGACAGGAAAGGCTCTGTGTAAATGTGGTATGTTATTGTATACAGTATACGCTGTGAAGTGCTTTGAGAGGTCTGAACATGATAAGGCACCGTATCAAACACAAGGATTATTATTATAACTTTTATTTCCCGTGAAAACACTTTCCTCGCTGTACTGAAACTCGCCTCTTTGCTTACAGACCACCGGTGATGACAGGGAGTGCGAGAACCAGCTTGTTAGCCTTCTCGGCTTCAACACCTTTGACTTCATCAAGATCCTGAGACAGCATCGCATGATGAGTGAGTATCAGTCAGGCTGGGGGTTAGCACTGACAGATCTAGGTGCGGGCGAAACCTTCGGCAAGTTTCCTTACGCCATATACACGCCTCTGTTTACCTCGCAGTAAGCTTACCTGCTTGCTAGTCGACTGGTGGATCGCTTTCCGAGGGTAACCCTTCAAAAAATATATATACCGTGGTCACTCAATCCTCGATTGTTTGTGGGACACTGCTGTGTGCAATTGGCTGCCGCGTTTCGTCCACAAATGACACAGTCTCTACACTTTACAGTGCGTCCTGTGAAGTGCTTTGACGTGTCTCAATGGAGTGATAGAGAAATAGAGCCAAATTTGTGACATTCTTATAGGTATAAAGGGAGGGAAATGTTCCCATTTGCCTCAACGCTGCCCATACTTTCACAGCTGTGTGTGTTTGGGTTAATATTGTTGTTTAAAAACCCTAAAGGACTGTAATGGTTGTGGTTGTTCCCCGACAGTTCTGTATTGCACGTTGCTGGCCAGTGCTCAGAGCGAGGGGGAGAAGGAGAGAATCCAGAATAAAATGGAGGGAGACGCTGAGCTCTCGAAGATCCTCTACAAACTCCAGGAAACTGAAAAGGAAGATATTATCCGGGTACGGTTCAGTTACGCTGTCACATACACCCCACTGCCTCAAGATCCTCACACTCGTCTTCAAATCCCTTCACGCCCTGTCACCTCCCTACCTGCTCAATCCCCAACCCACTACCCGCTGCCTCCACTTGACTAGCTCCGGCCTCCTGCATATCCCGCGTGCCCTCTGTTCCCCGCCAGTGTCAAGCGTGAGGGGAGCTGCGTCAATACAAGGTGGTGTTGTAAAACACAACCAGCTCCTGTCCCATGTTTTATGTTGAGATTGCTCGTCCAGCTGTGAATGTTCTCGCTGCTCACCACAGCTTTCTCTCTGTCCGTAGGAGGAACGATCGCGCCGAGAGCGAGTGCGTCAATCTCGCGTCGATATAGACCTGGAAGCCATGGACATTGATCGCGAAGGAGAGGTGAGGCTGCTCAATGCAAAGAAACCTGAAATATCATAAGAGTCATGGAATATCACAGCACGGAAGGAGGCCATTCGCCCCATCCGGCCTGTACCGGCTCTTTGAAAGAGCTGCCCAACTAATACACAGTGAATCCACTTTACAGTATATTCTGTGAAGCGCTTTGAGGCATCTCAGCGCCATAATAAGCTTTTTATCAAATGCAAGGATTATTATTACTTAATTACTTAATTACTTTATTTATTTATTGTTAAACGAGGATTGTTATTATTTATTTATCGTTAACCAAGGATTATTATTATTAATTATGATGATTGACGTGCCGCACATTCTCCATTTGCCTCACCAGATCCTGGCTCCCCGGCAAGTCCTGGACTTGGAGGACCTGGCGTTTGCTCAGGGGAGTCACTTGATGGCCAATAAACGCTGTCAGCTCCCTGACGGCTCCTTCCGCAAACAACGCAAGGGATACGAGGAGGTGCACGTCCCCGCTCTCAAACCCAAACCCTTTTCCTCCGAAGAGGTGAGTGTCTTGTGACGTCCTTCCCGACCTGATGCGAAAGGTGCCGGCTGTCCTGTCGCGTTCTGGTTCAGGGCACTCGCCTCACAAGCTGAGAGGACCTGGGTTCGATTCCCGGGCAGAGCGAAACATCGGGCAAGTTAGATTACTCCGCACACACTCCCCTGTTCACCAAGCAGTAAGTAGGAACCCGCTTGCATAAGAAGGTAGGGCATTTGCTTTGCTTTGCAACCACTAATTCTTTTGAACTTTCTTCCGTTTAGCAACTAATCGGCGTTGAGAAGATGCCCAAGTATACACAGGCAGCATTTGAAGGCTTCAAGACTCTGAACCGGATTCAGAGCAAACTGTTCAAAGCCGCCATGGAAACCGATGAAAACCTGTTACTGTGCGCTCCCACCGTGAGTACATCATCACAGTGAATACATGGGAACATAGGAATAGGAGGAGGCCATTCAGCCCTTTGAGCCTGTTCCGCCATTCTTTTAGATCATGGCTGATCTGTACCTCAGATCCAATTACCCGTCTTTACCCCGTATCCCCTGACCCCAACAAACATCTCCACCTCAGTCTGGACAATGTGAATGGATTCAGCCATAATCCACAGCCTTTTGGGTGAGGAAGGGAGAGAGAGCTCCAGATTCCCATTGGCCTTTGGGTGAAAACCTCCCTCCTGAGTTCACTCCTAAATGGCTCTAATTTTAAGATGAAGCCCCTGGTTCTGGATTCCCCACCAGAGGAAATAGTGTCTCTGTAGCTGCCCTATCAAATCCCTTTGTCATTTTAAACACCTCGATCAGGTCGGCCCCCAGCCCTCTAGACTCACAGACTACAGACCAAGTTTATGCAACTTGTCCTCAAATTTAACCACATGTTTCAGTTGTTCGGGAGGGAAAAAAAAGAAGGGTGTAACAGGAATTTGTGCACACCCTGTATGTAGGACTATTGCTCTCACTGTGCATATACATTAACGTGCACGGCGCTGGGGTTCTTGTCTACCGAGGCCTAAAACTTGTGTTGCTTTGTCTGCAGGGAGCTGGTAAAACCAACGTGGCTTTGATGTGTATGCTGCGTGAGATTGGGAAACACATCAACCTGGACGGGACCATCAACATCGATGACTTCAAGATTATCTACGTGGCACCTATGCGCTCTCTGGTACAGGAGATGGTGGGCAGCTTCAGTAAGGTAAGGAGGGGCGATAATGTGGTCACTCAATCCACGACTGTCTGTTGGACACTGCTGTGCTCAAGCACACTCACTAGCCCCCGTCTCTATACTGGTGCTCACTTATCCCCTTAGAGCTGGTGCCTCAATTATCACGAAGTTCGCTCCCTTCACACATAGGTTGGTCGTCAATAACCGTAAAAGCCAGTGACGGGCTTTATCCACCTGTGACCCACCTATAACAACAATAAATTGGGAGCGCTTAACAGTGGCGGAGGCTGACACCGAGCCGGGGGGGTGGGAGGGAGGAGTTGACCCTTAGATTTTCAGTCGTGATCCGAAAGGTGGAAAGTAGGGTGCAAGGCGGAGGATTGGGGGGTGAGAGATATAAAGGTCGGTGGGGGGGGTGGGGTTAGTGGCTGAAAACCCCTCCGTTAATTCCCCTGCTGTGCGCGTTTCTCTTCTGCAGCGTTTAGCCAGTTACGGGATCAATGTGGCGGAGCTGACGGGCGACCATCAGCTGTGTAAGGAGGAGATTAATGCCACCCAGGTCATCGTGTGCACCCCGGAGAAGTGGGACATCATCACTCGCAAAGGAGGGGAGCGCACGTACACGCAGATAGTCCGACTCATGATCATTGTAAGTCTGTGCGGGCTGGGGACAGGCTGATAGACGACGATACACGCGACATGACAGACCCACAGACACATGACGTGCGTGACAGACGCACTCAAGCATGTGTATGTGAGGAGGGGAGGGAATGACGAAGTGGGTGCCTTGCCTTTCCATGTGGCTGCCCCCCCCACATGGAAAGGCAAGGCACCCACTTCCTCATTCCCTCCCCTCCTCACGTACGCATGCTTGAGTGTACATATCAAATACAAAGATTATATAGACAATCCACCTGATCCACTTGCTCCATAACTGGCTCTCTCTTCATCTGTAACTCTCTCTCTCTCTCCCCCTCCCCTCAGGATGAGATCCACCTGCTGCACGATGACCGAGGCCCTGTGTTGGAGGCCTTGGTGGCCAGGACTATAAGGAACATTGAGATGACCCAGGAGGACGTGCGGCTGGTGGGGCTCAGTGCTACGCTGCCCAACTACGAGGATGTGGCCACTCTCCTGAGGGTCGATGCTGCCAAAGGCCTCTTCTACTTCGACAACAGGTACCTCACTATCAAATACAAGGATTATTATTATTATTGTAACTTGCCAGGTCAGCAACAACAATAACAACACCAACAAATTAGCTATTTAGTGAAGTTGTTCCCAACAACAACAACTTGAATATAGAGTCCCAGCCTTGACAGTGGAGGAGCGCGACACCGAGCTGGGGGTAGGGAGGGGGAGGTTACTGTAGGCACGGTCGAAGAGAAAGGTCTTCAGTTCAGACCTGAAGATGCGGAAGGAGGGGTCAAGGCGGAGGGATTGAGGGAGAGTGGTCCAGAGTTTTGGGGCGCAGTCATGGACGGTGTTGTGTAACATAAAGGAGCAGAGATTCCCTTTGTTTAGCTGCGGATTCCAGGTGCGTGGCTCCTGACGTTGTGCGTCTCGTTCCAGTTTCCGCCCGGTTCCTCTGGAGCAGACCTACGTGGGAATTACAGAGAAGAAAGCCATCAAACGCTTCCAGATCATGAACGAGATTGTGTACGAGAAGGTGATGGAGCACGCTGGCAAGAACCAGGTCAGTCACGCTCCCCCACACTCGCTCTCTCAACAACAACTGCACGTTACATTCACACAATGCCTTTCACGTCAGGGGGAGGGCCCAAGACGCTGGACAGTCAGGGGTCTGGACCTGAGCTGGGGGTTGGGATTAGGGAGGGCAGGGAGGGTAGCGATAGTAGGGTGACTGAAGACGTGATTGAAGAGGAGGGTCTTGAAGGAGCCAAGGGAGAGAGCGAGGCAGAGGGACTGTGGGATGGAGTTCCAGAGTGTGGGGCAGAGAAGCTGAAGGCCTGACTGTCGATGGGACATTCTTCTGACGTGAAATGCGCTGTACAGATGTGCTTTGTTGTTGTTATAACTACAGTGTGATGGTTTCAGGTGCTGGTGTTTGTTCATTCGCGGAAGGAAACCGGAAAGACGGCGCGAGCGATCAGAGACATGTGTCTGGAGAAAGATACTCTGGGCTTGTTCCTTCGTGAGGGCTCAGCGTCCACTGAGGTGTTACGTACAGAGGCCGAGCAGTGCAAGGTACCCGCTTAGACACTGCATTTGTATCAGTAAACATCTCTAACTGGATATTAATTTCTCTCTTATCTCTGCTTCCTAACTCCAAACACTTTGAAGCGAGCGCGTGTTAACTGGGTGCAGTTCAGTGTAATTGCCATCTGTTTGCTGTGGAGTCCTGTAGTGTAGTGGTTAGAGCGCTCGCCTTGCAAGCGATAAGACCCAGGTTTGGTTCCCGGGCAGGGCGAAACCTTAGGCAGGTACTCCACCGCTGTTTACCGAGCAGTTAGTAGGGACCCACTTGTAAGTCGGTTGACGAATCGCTTTCCGGGGGTAATAATTCCTTCTGTAGTGATTATGGTGTGTGTCTCTTGCAGAATTTGGAACTGAAAGACTTGCTGCCCTACAGCTTTGCTATACATCACGCAGGGATGACCAGGGTGGACAGAACCTTGGTGGAGGATCTATTTGCTGATCGGCACATTCAGGTAATTGGGTTCTCCTCTGGTTTGAGGGGCACCGTGGAATCCTGTAGCTCAGTGGTGAGAGCACTCGCCTCGCAAGCAAGAGGACCTGGGTTTGATTCCCGGGTAGGACAAAATGTTAGGCAAGGTTCCTTACTCCACCACTTACTTACGCCTCTGTTTTCCTAGCGATAAGTAGGAACCCAGTTATTAGCCGATTAGCGGATCGCTTTCCTTGGGTGATAATCCCTCCAAAGAATAAATTAAAAATAATAATAATAATTTGGCTGACACTCTGTACTGTGCTGTTTCACGCTACTTACCTTGAACTGAGTCACCTGAGTTTCACTTACTGTGCCTTGCTGTTCAGGTGCTGGTCTCCACAGCGACCCTGGCTTGGGGTGTGAATCTGCCCGCTCACACAGTCATCATCAAAGGGACACAAGTCTACAGCCCGGAGAAAGGCCGCTGGACAGAGCTGGGAGCCTTGGACGTTCTACAGGTCTGCAAACTGCAATATTCTGCCTCTCAATAATAGTCCCTTCAAAAAAACGATAATAATAATTTGGTCACTGAATCCGCGACTGTTTGTGGGACACTGCTGTGCGCAATTGGATGCTGCGTTTCGTCTGCAAAAGTTATTCCGCTTTCGAGTATATATCCTGTGAAGTGCTTTGAGACGTCTCGACCACAGGATAAGGTGCTGTATCAAATGGGGTTCCCCCCCAAGCCTTGGCTCTTGCCAACCTGCGCCTAGTACTTTCTAGAATTAGGTAAGCAGGATGAGTCCCTCCAGGGAGAGAGAGAGAGAGCGCATTTCATTCCAACAGCCTTATCTCTGGGATTTCCATGTGTAGGTCGGATGCTTGGTTTGGAGACTCTTAAACATGGTAATGGGTTTCTGTGTGTGTCAGAGGATTATTCTTATTCTTACTGCGTTGCAGATGTTGGGACGAGCCGGGCGGCCACAGTACGACACGAAAGGTGAAGGAATCCTGATCACCTCACACGGGGAGCTGCAGTATTACCTGTCTCTGCTCAACCAGCAGCTTCCCATTGAGAGCCAGATGATCACCAGACTCCCTGACATGCTCAACGCTGAGATCGTGCTTGGCAATGTCCAGACAGCCAAGGTGAGGAGCCCTGGGTATCCGAGCGATCAAGTGTAGACCAAATGTTTGGCCCCTCCTTACCTCTCCGACCTGCTTACTCCCCAACCCATTACCCCGTTGCCTCTGCTCGACTGACTCCGGCCTCCTGCTCGTCCCGCAACTCGTGCCCTCCGTTCCATCATCGCCGGCTGCGCTTTCAGCCACTGCGCCCCAAGACTTTGGAAAACTCTTCCTCAATCCCTCCGCCTCGCCCCTTCCTTCCTCATCTTCAGACCGCATGAAGACCTTCCCCTCCGACCGTACCTCAAATGCAGTCAAATACTCTGGGTTTCTACCCTGCGTGAGGAGCGCAGTGTAAATGCAAGTTGTTGTTGTCGTTGATGTTCTGAGTTGAATCAGTTTTACCCTCTTCCCGATTAGGATGCTATTAACTGGTTGGGATACACCTACCTTTACATCCGAATGCTGAGGACACCCACACTATACGGGATATCACACGATGAGCTGAAGAGCGACCCTTTGCTGGAGCAGCGCAGGTTAGACCTGATCCACACGGCAGCCCTTATCCTCGACAAGAACAACCTGGTCAAGTACGACAAGAAAAGCGGCAACTTCCAGGTTAGCCTCAGCAGTGGTTAATGCGCTCGCCTTGCGAGCCAGAGGGCAGGTTTCCTTACCTCACCCGCGCGCCTCTGTTTACCCAGCAGGAAGTAGAATTTGTTCGTCGATTGGCGGATCACTTTCCAAGAGTAATAATCCATTCGGGAAAAAAATAAAAATAATAATGTCACTCAATCCACGACTGTGCGCAATTGGCTGCCACGTTTTTTTCCTACAAAGTACACAGTCACTACCCTTAACAGTGTGTTCTGGCAAGCGCTTTGAGACGTCTCAACGACGTGATAATGCGCTGTATCAAATGTAAGGGTTATTATTATTGTGCTGCCCAGCAGTGTGTAACTTGCTGTGTCTTGTTTTGAAGGTGACCGACCTGGGCAGGATTGCCAGTCACTACTACATCACCCAGGAAAGCATGGCCACCTACAACCAGCTGCTCAAACCCACCCTCAGCGAGATCGAGCTCTTCCGAGTCTTCTCTCTGTCCTCGGAATTCAAAAACATCACCGTGAGAGAGGTGAGTGTGGCTCGGGACAGATTAGACCATCCCAGGGTTACAGTCCTAATATATCTGTGTGTGTGCGTATGTGTATATGATACCTGTGTGTGTGTGTGTGTGTGTGGGTGCTGAGTAGTGGCTCAGTTGCTGACACACTGACTTTTCACCTCTTGCCTTCAGGAAGAGAAGCTGGAGCTACAGAAGCTGTTGGAACGAGTTCCTATTCCTGTCAAGGAGAGCATTGAGGAGCCCAGTGCCAAGGTACGTGACCTTGCGCTTACGAGGCAGTGTAGTTGTGTAGCTTAGTGCGCAAGTGAGAGGACTTGGATTTGATTCCTGGGCAGGGCCAAACCTTCAGCATGTTTCCTTATTCCACACATATGCCTCTGTTTACGTAGCAGTGAGTAGTCGATGGGTGGATCGCTTTCCGGGTGTAATAATTCCTTTAAAAAAAATTAAAGCGGTCACTCAATCCACGACTGTTTGTGGGACACTGCTGTCTCGCGTTTTTCCCGTAAAATACAGTCACTACACTTTACAGCAGTGAGTGTCTCATTGCAGAGCTCAGTGATGGTATAGTTAAAGACCAACTAATTGGGTGTGTGGGGTGTCGTGCCTTTCAGATTAATGTGCTGCTCCAAGCCTATATCTCACAGCTGAAGTTGGAGGGGTTTGCACTGATGGCTGACATGGTTTACGTGACTCAGGTGAGTGTGAAATGCGTCAGGGAACGGAAACTATTCTGTTCCACTTATCAAGGGATGGGAGCTATTTTACTGTAAAGTGAATTGACCGTATATTTCTCCCACAAAACACACAGTCAATTCACTTCACAGTATATTCTGTGAAGCGCTTTGGGACGTCTCAATGACGGGATAAGGCGCTATATCAAATGTAAGGATTATTATTGTTTTAATTTTATGTTTTTCCAGTCAGCGGGACGCCTGATGCGTTGCATATTCGAGATTGTGCTGCACCGTGGCTGGGCCCAGCTGACAGACAAGACGGTTAATCTCTGCAAAATGATCGACAAACGGATGTAAGTAGCCGTTTTCCCACCAAATTCTGCAATATTACAACGTGGTGGAGCCCTGTAGCTCAGTGGTTAGAGAACTCTCCTCGCGAGCGAGACGACAAGCTTCGATTCCCGGGCAGGGCGAAACCCGAGTCAAGTTTCCTTGCTCCAACCTCCTCTGATTACCTGGCAGTAAGCAGGAACCCGGTTGTTAGTTGATTGGCGGATCCCTTTTAACGGAGGTAATAATCCCTCCAAAAAAAATATATTCATTCTCCCGAACTTCCCTCCACAGGCTGCAGACCATTCAGAACTCTGCAGCTTGTGTCCTCTGCTGCACCAGGCTCCGTCACCATATCACCTCCACCCTCGCCCGGCTCCACCAGCTCTCCATCCCCCAGAGGATAGCGCTCAAAATCCTTGTTCTCGCCTTCAAAGCTTTGCTCCTCTAATGCACGAGTATCCTTGTATGCTGTTGGAGCGCGAAGGTGGATGTTTCACAGCTTGAATTTTTGGTTGAGAGCGAATGTCAGACGTGAGTTGCAACCGACCGAGGTGTTATTTTGTCTCCCGACAGGTGGCAGTCCATGTCTCCTCTTCGCCAGTTTCGGAAGCTGCCGGAGGAGGTCATCAAGAAGATTGAGAAGAAGAACTTCCCCTTTGAGAGACTCTACGACTTGAACCACAATGAAATAGGTAACAAGTCGATCCGATTGGCGGATCGATTTTCCGGGGTAATAATCCCTTCCAACAGAAAAACTGGTCACTCGCTCCCACAACTGTCGCGTTTCTCCCAGATAATTTACAATCAGTTCACTTTACAATATATTCTATAAATGCGCCGTAATAAGAAGCTGTATCAAATGCAAGAGCTATTGTTATTTTCGTCACCGAAGTGAAAGCTTTTTCGTGGAGTCCTGTAGCTCAGTGGTTAGAGCACTCGCTTTGCAAGTGAGAGACCTGAGTTCAATTCCAGGCAGAGGGCGAAACCTCGGGCAAGTTTCCTTACTCCACACAGAGCCTAATAATAATCCTCCAAAACCAAAAACAATAATAAATTGGTCATTTTCAATCTACGACTGTTTGTGGGACATTGCTGTGCGCAATTGGCTGCCGCGTTCACCCACAAACATACAGTCAATTCACTTTACAGTGTGTTCTGTGAAGCGCTTTGGGACGTCCTCCCGACGTGAAAAGCGCTATATCAAATGCAAGGATTATTATTATTATTATTTTGCAACCAGTTACTGCCTATTCCAATGTAACGACTTCAATCTTCCCACCAGGGGAGCTGATCCGAATGCCAAAGATGGGGAAAACCATCCACAAGTACATTCACCAGTTCCCCAAACTGGAGCTCTCTGTCCATATCCAGCCGATCACACGCTCCACCCTGAAAGTGGAACTCACCATCACGCCAGACTTCCAGTGGGACGAAAAGGTAGGACAGACCTAGGTTTGCTTGTCACATTTTATTCTGCCGTTGCGAACAATTCTACAACCGTAGCATTCTGGTAACGAGGGATCTTAAAAGGCCTCCGATAAGTTTGCGAGGAGTTCAAAGGAGCTGCCCCTCCGGAGTCCTGTAGCTCAGTGGGTAGCACACTCGCCTCGCAAGCGAGAGGACCCGGGTTCGATTCCCGGGCAGGGAGAAACCTCGGGCAAGTTTCCTTAACACCACATGCACACGCAACCACACACGCACGCCTCTGTTTACCCAGCAGTAAGTAGGAATCCGGTAGTTGGTCGATCAGTGGATCGCTTTCTGGGGATACTAATCCCTTCAATAAGTAAATAATAAATAAAAATAATAACTTGTTCACGCAATCCACAACGACTGTTTGTGAGACGTCGCTGTGCGCAATTGGCTGCCGCGTTTCACCCACAAAACATACAGTCAATTCACTTGACAGTATTTCTGTGAAGCGAGTGTGTGGGTTTTGCTGAAGGACTGAGAGGGGGTGATGTGTGGCTGATTGCCGCCTGTTCCCCTCACAGATACACGGTTCCTCGGAGGCGTTCTGGATCCTGGTGGAGGATGTGGACAGTGAGGTGATTCTACATCACGAGTATTTCCTGTTAAAGGCAAAGTACGCACAGGACGAGCACCTGGTGATGTTCTTTGTTCCGGTATTTGAGCCGCTGCCTCCGCAGTACTTCATCAGGGTGGTGTCGGACCGCTGGCTGTGTGAGTAACCCTGGATGCTCCTCATTGTCCAGTATTATCTCCTCTTGTCCTCTGGTGTATGTTGTTGTCTTTGACCAATACTTGTTTCAATATCAAGGTCCTCCCACTCGTCTTCCAAGTCCCTTCTCACCCCGGCACCTCCCTACCTCTCTGATCTGCTTACTCCTCAACCCACTACCTCTGCCTCCACTCGACTGGCTCCGGCCTCTTGCTTGCCCCTCGTCCCCTCTGCTCTACCGTCAGTCGTGGATTCGTCACTACCACGTTTCGCTCACAAATACGCAGTCAATCTTCACTCTGTGACGCGCTTTCAGGCGTCTCAATGACGTGACAAGGCACTGTATCAAATGCAAGGGTTATTACTGTTATTATTTATCATTATTCTGTTGTGTATCTTCTCTCCTCAGCCTGTGAAACACAGCTGCCTGTTTCATTCCGACACCTGATTCTCCCAGAGAAATATCCTCCCCCCACAGAGCTGCTGGACCTGCAGCCACTGCCTGTGTCCGCCCTGAGGAACAGCGCATTCGAGAGCCTTTACCAGGACAAGTTCCCCTTCTTCAACCCCATCCAGACACAAGGTACCCTCAGCCACTCACTGCCACAGCGCAGGATAGCAGCGCAGGTGGTTTTATTTGTTTGTTTGGTCTTTTTTGATCGTGCGTCGCAACCTGGCTCCGTGGTAGCGCTCTCTCTCTCTCACTCTCTCTCTCATGCCTCTGAGTCAGAAGTTTCTGGGTTCAAGCCCCCGCGTCGGGACTTGATTTCACACGGTCTAAGCTGACGCTCCAATGCAGAGCAGGAGGGGGTGGGGGGGACTGTTGCATTGTCGGAGATGCCGTCATTCAGATGAGACTTTAAACCTCACTCCCCGTCTGCCTATTCAGGTGGATGTTAAAGATCTCTCGCTATTCAAAAAGAGTAGGGAGTTTCTCTCTCTCTCTCTCCCTCTCCCGGTGTCCTGGCCAACAATCCCCCAAATAAAATTGGACCCTTGTTTCCACGGCTGTTCGTGGGACACTGTTGTGCGTAATTGTGCTCCCGTGTTTTGCCTACAAAAACACATTGAATCCTGTGAAGGTGTTGGTGATGTCCGTCCGACATGACAAGACGCCAGACCAAATGCAAGGATTATTATTATTACTGTTGTTGTTTTTGTGATGTCTGAGGCCTTTCCTCAGTTTGAAGGACAATGAAAGGAAAGTTGTGGAGTGTATTGCTGACCTGCTGTGTGTGTGTCTGTGGCTTCTCTCCCCAGTGTTCAACGCGGTGTACAACAGCGATGACAACGTGTTTGTGGGCGCTCCCACGGGCAGCGGGAAGACAATTTGCGCGGAGTTTGCCATCCTGCGCATGTTACTCCAGAACTCCGAGGGTCGCTGTGTGTACATCACCCCCATGGAGGCGCTGGCGGAGCAGGTGAGAATCAACTAACTCCCTCTGACCAGGGCCATCCAGAGCAACAGAGCCGAAAGCCAGAGCCATTCGGCAACAACTTGCATTTATACAGCTCCTCCCTCACGCAGAGTAGCGTCCCAATCAGGTGCCGCGTTTCCCCCACAAAATACAGTCAGTTGACTTTACGATATATCCTGTGACTCGCTTTGAGATGTCTCGATGACGCTGTATCAAATGTAAGGATTATTATAATAATAATAATTATTGCAGTAAACCTCACACAACCTCTTTTCAGTTGGGACCAGACGTGGAATGTGACTTCTGGAAAGTGTGCGTTTTGCGAAATTTATAAATAGGAAATAATAGGAAATTCAACGGGGCTCGGGGGCAGATTGAGGTGCTGGCACGGTTTGCACAGACTGTTGCTGCGTTATTATCTCTGGTGACAGCCGTTGATATTCTGTTGTTTCTGGTTATGTCTCAAGGTCTTTGCAGACTGGTTCGAGAAGTTCCAGCTGAAGTTGGGGAAGAAAGTGGTTTTGCTCACAGGAGAAACGAGCACAGACCTCAAGCTGCTGGGCAAAGGCAACATCATCATCAGCACCCCGGAGAAGTGGGACATACTGTCCCGGAGATGGAAACAGCGTAAAAATGTCCAGAACGTCAACCTGTTTGTGGTGGACGAGGTCCATCTGATCGGGGGGGAGAACGGGGTAAGATGCCATGAGCAGTGATAGTGTTAGACAAGCACACACACGCAACACGTGTGATTAGGGGGGGGCCCACCTGACGTGGGGACTCAGTCACTTGTATCCAGTGCAAGTATTATTATTAATGTTATTAATGTGTCGCTCTCCCTTTACAGCCTGTTCTGGAAGTTATCTGCTCCCGAATGAGGTACATCTCCTCCCAGATCGAACGTCCCATCCGGATCGTGGCGCTGAGCTCCTCCCTGTCCAACGCCAAGGACGTGGCCCACTGGCTGGGCTGCAGCACCACAGCAACCTTCAACTTCCACCCCAACGTCAGGCCCGTTCCCCTCGAGCTGCACATCCAGGTACAGCAACAACACATGACACTTGCATCGCATCAGGAGGACGTCCCAAGGCGCTGGACAGTCAGGGATTCGGACCCGAGCTGGGGGTTGGGATCAGGGGAGATGGAGAGCAGGGAGGGTGGGGGTAGGAGGGTGACCGAAGGCGCGGTCGAAGAGGAGCACAGCTCTCAGAGCGCTTAAAACCTTAAACAACGAAGCAACTTAAACCTTAGGCAAGTTTCCTTACTCCACACACACACACACACAATCCTCTGTTTACATAGCAGTAAATCGGAACCTGGTTGTTGGCCGATTGGTGGATCGATTTCCGGGGGTAACTCAATCCACAACTGTTTGTGGGCAACTGGCTGCCGCGTTTCACTCACAAAGTACACAGTCACGACATTTTACAGTATATCCCGTGATGCGCTTTGAGGCACCTTGACGAACGTGATAAGGCGACATATCAAATGCAAGGATTGTTGTTGTTGTGGGGTTTGGGGTTACCGTGTATATGGGGGATTTGTGGGTCACAGGGATTAACACTGAGAAACGTTTGTGTTGATGTTTCCCTGTTGCAGGGCTTCAATGTGAGCCACACACAGACACGACTGCTGTCCATGTCTAAACCTGTCTACCACGCCATCATGAAGCATTCGCCCAAGAAGCCAGTCATCGTCTTCGTGCCCTCTCGCAAGCAGACCCGGCTGACGGCCATCGATATCCTCACCTTCTGTGCTGCTGACGTCCAGCCACAAAGGTACGTTTGATGGGAGGTGATGAGCAGCTCGCGATCTCTGGTTAAAGTTAAGGCGGGTGAGAGAATTCCAGATTTGTTAAGGGTATTGAGGCAAAAAGGGAGGAATCTGCGTGTGTGTGTGTGGTGTGTGTGTGTGTTGCTAATTGTCTGCCTTCCCTCAGGTTTTTACACTGTACAGAGAAGGACTTGACACCGTACCTTGACAAACTGAATGACAACACACTGAAGGAGACACTGGCCAATGGTGTTGGTTACCTGCACGAGGGGCTGAACCTGACCGAGCGCAGAATCGTAGAACAACTCTTCCGTTCTGGTACCGTCTTTACCTCTCTCGCTAACTAACTAACTAGAGGACCTGGGTTCGATTCCCGGGCAGGGCAGGGCGAAACCTTAGGCAAGTTTCCTTAATCCACACACTCGCCTCTGCTTACCCAGCAGTAAAGTAGGAACCCACTTGTTATTTGATCGGCGGATTGCTTTCTTGGGGCAATAATCCCTCGACAGGAAAAAAAACACCCGGTCACTCAATCCACGACGGTTTGTGTGCAATTGGCTGCCGTGTTTCGCCCACAAAATATACAGTCAATTCACTTTACAGCGTATCCTGTGAAGCACCTGGCGATGTCTTAACGACGTGATGAGGCGCTGTACCAAATGCGAGGGTTGTTATTAGTTAGGAATAATTCAAAGATAGCTGTGCTAGGAGTTCTCTTAAATGCCCCTGGACGCTGCCCGGGGTGAAGGTCGCTATATAAATGCAAGTTGTTGTAGTTGGGGGAAGTGCTGGGTACACATCAGCCCTGAGCAAAACCTCCGACCTGTTTGTGTTCAGGTGCAGTGCAAGTGGTTGTGGCCTCCAGGAGCCTGTGTTGGGGGATGAACATCTCTTCGTACCTGGTCACCATTATGGACACGCAGTACTACAACGGCAAAATCCACGCGTGAGTAAACTAGACACGCGCCCTCTCTCTCTCTCTCTCTCTCTCTCTCTCTCTCGCCTCTTGAGTCAGAAGGTTGTGGGTTCAAACCCCCCCCCCACGTTGTGACTTGGAGCCAAACCGTCTTAAGTGTTTGACCTGCTAACCACGTGTCGTGTTTCAGGTACGTGGACTATCCAATCTACGATGTGCTGCAGATGGTGGGACGGGCAAACCGCCCCCTACAGGACGATGAGGGGCGCTGTGTCATCATGTGTCAGGGGTCCAAGAAGGTGAGCGATTATTACAACCACTGCAGCAAATGACATTTACACACCGTCTCTCACATCAGGAGCTCATCCCACCAAAGCGCTGGACAGGCAGAGATTTGGACCCGAGCTGGGGCTTGGGGTCAGGAGGGAGGGTGGGGGTAGGAGGGTGACTGAAGGCGCGGTGGAAGAGGAGGCGTCTTGAAGGAGGCGAGGGAGGGGGCGAGGTGAAGGGAATGTGGGATGGAGTTCCAGATAGTGGGAGTGGAGAGGCTGAAGGTGGTGGAGCGGGCTGGGCGGGGGATGTGGCACAGGCCAGAGCCCACTGGGCGGAGAGGTTAATGATGTTTTAATAGGCAGCAGAAGTTACGTTGGCCACGATAACCAGATCAGCGTCTGTGTTTGTTTCAGGATTTTTTTAAGAAGTTCCTGTATGAGCCACTGCCGGTGGAATCCCACCTGGATCATTGCTTACACGATCACTTCAACGCTGAAATCGTCACCAAAACCATTGAGAACAAGCAGGACGCTGTGGATTACCTGACCTGGACCTTCCTGTATCGCAGGATGACACAGAACCCCAATTACTACAATCTCCAGGGTTTGTACATGACGGAAGTTGGGGTGTTTATTCCTGTAGCTCAGTGGTTAGAGCCCTCGCCTCGCAAGCGAGTGGACCTGGGTTTGATACCTGGGCAGGACAAAACCTTAGGCAGCTTTCCTTACTCCGCACACTCGCCTGTTTATCTAGCAGTGAATAGGAACCCGCTTTCCGGGGGTAACAATCCCTTTGCGAAAATAAAACGGTCACACAATCCACAACTGTTTGTGGGCTGCTGCTGTGCGCAATCGGCTGCTATTAATTCGTCACAAAAATAACACAGTCACGACACTTTGCAGTGTATCCTGCGAAGCGCTTTGAGACGTGATAAGGTGCTGTATCAAACGCCAGGATTATTATAATAGTTATATTAGTAATGTAGAGTGGTTGCCTCGGAAAGGCTAGCCCTGCCCTGCCCTGCCCTGCCCTGCCCTGCTCTGCCCTGTCCTGCCCTGCCCTGCCCTGCCCTGCCCTGCCCTGCCCTGCCCTGCCCTGCCCTGCCCTGCTCTGTCCTGCCCTGCTCTGCCCTGCCCTGCTCTGCCCTGCCCTGCTCTGCCCTGCCCTGCCCTGCTCTGCCCTGCCCTGCCCTGCCCTGCTCTGCTGCAGCTGAGCTGTTCTCTGCTTCTGTTCAGGTGTGTCGCACAGACATCTCTCTGATCACCTCTCGCAGTTGGTGGAAAACACCCTGAACGACTTGGAACAGTCCAAGTGCATCAGTATCGAGGATGAGATGGATGTGGCTCCTCTGAACCTGGGGATGATCGCAGCGTATTATTACATCAACTACACAACCATCGGTGAGTGAGGCTCCGTCACGGGGTCGATCTGTATCGTTGCCACACGGCCCAACGCCCCTCACACTGTCCACGTCACGTCACAGTCCGTGTTGTGCTAACGTGTGACTTTTTCCGTGTGTCCCAGAGCTGTTCAGTATGTCGCTGAACGCCAAGACGAAGATCCGAGGCCTCATAGAAATCATCTCCAACGCGGCCGAGTACGAGAACATTCCCATCAGACATCACGAGGATAATCTGCTGCGTCAGGTGAGTGGGAGGGGGTGACACCCCACAAACCACTACTCGCTGCCCCCGCTCGACTGGCTCCGGCCTCCTGCTTGCCCCTCGTGCCAGCGGTGGCCGCACTTTCAGCCACTACGCCTCAAAACTTTGGAACACCCTCCCTCCCGCCCTCCACCTTGCTCCCTCCCTCTCTCCATCTTCAGGTCGTGCCCGAAGACCTTCCTCTTCGACCTTGTCTGCGGTCACCTCCCCCCGGCTCGGCATCGGGCTCCGACACTGTCGAGTGCTCCGGGCTGTACCCTGTGTGAGGTGAAGGGTGCTGTGTAAATGCAAGTAATTGTTGCTATGGTTAGCGAGATTGCCTTGTGTGTTGTGTTTTGCAGCTTTATCAGAAAGTTCCTCACAAACTGAACAACCCCAAGTTTAATGATCCTCATGTGAAGACGAACCTGCTCCTCCAGGCACATCTCTCCCGCATGCAGCTCAGCGCCGAGCTCCAGTCAGACACCGAGGAGATTCTCAGCAAGGTCAGCTCGGGTGAGGGGGCGGGTGGGGGAACGAGTGGGCAAGCAGACCACTGTGCGCGCGTGTGTGTATCAGTGGAGGCTGTGTGTTTGCTTAGCTCAACTCTTCATGCGTAGTGGATAGAGCGCTCAGTTCACAAGCCAGAGGATCCGGGTTCGATTCCCGGGCGGGTCAGGTCAGGGCGAAACCTTAGGCAAGTTTCCTTACTCCGCACACACACACACACACACACACACACACAGGCCACTGTTTACCTGCAGTCAGTAGGAACCCGCTTGTTAGTCGATTGGCGGTTCGCTCTCTGAGGGTAATAATCCCTCCAAAAAAATAATAATAATTTGGTCACTCAACCCACGACTGTTTGTGGGGACGCTGCTGTGGGTAATTGCCTGCTGCGTTTCGCCCACAAAATATACAGTCACTACACTTTACAGTATATTCTGTGAAACGCTTTGAGATGTCACAACGCTGTGATAAGGCGCTGTATCATATGCAAGGATTATTATTAGTAGTAGTAGTAGTCAGTGGAACATGGAAGCTCCTGAAACAGTTGGGTTGTGTGTATCACTAATCTTTGCTGCAGATGATTACCTTGACCCGCTGTGTTTCCTCGTCTGTCCTCAGGCGATCCGGCTGATCCAGGCCTGTGTGGACGTTCTCTCCAGTAACGGTTGGCTCAGCCCCGCGCTCGCTGCCATGGAATTGGCCCAAATGGTGACACAGGCCATGTGGTCAAAGGACTCCTACCTCAAGCAGCTTCCTTACTTCACTTCTGAACACATAAAGCGCTGCACTGACCAGGTAAGTCCTCCCTTCGTTCAGCTCCACGTTCCCCGCCAGGCCACCGGTTGGTTTTTCAGCCTCTCTGCCCCCACCCTCTGGAACTCCAACTCACAGTCCCTCCGCCTAGCCCCCTCCCTCACCTCCTTAAGGTCACATCTCAAGACCCTCCTCTTTGACTGCGCCTTCGGTCACCCTCCTATTCCCCCTCTCCCCGCCCTCCACCCTTCTGATCTCAACCCCCCAGCTCGCGTCCAAATCCCTGACTGACCCAAATCCCACGCCTTGGGACGTGTTAAGGCGCTATATCAAATGCAGGGATTATTATTATTAGTAGTAGTAAAATGGGTGATTGTCCCTCTGCCCAGGGCACTGACAGTATCTTCGACATCATGGAGATGGAGGACGATGAGAGGAACGCCTTGCTGCAGCTCTCCGATGCCCAGATGATGGACGTGGCGAGGTTCTGCAACCGGTATCCCAACATCGAGCTGTCGTATGAAGTGGTGGAGAAAGAGGCCATCAAGAGGTAAGCCTGAGTGATGGGGAAGCCCACGAACATGGAAGAGGACCTGATGGGTAATCTCACTTGGGATCTTGTTTGTTTGTTAGGTTTGTCGGATGCTTCAAAGTTCTGTAAAACTGGCACGAGTCTGATCTGTGTAAATTGTATAATCGCGGTAAAGTTGTACAGTTATACATAGAGTTTAGGTTCTGTGCCAGTTTGACGGAACACGTACTTTGTGTAAGTCATATTAAATGTTTGTTATGGTCTCAACTAATATGACTTATGTGAGGTTTACAGTCATGGTATAAAAATGCGAATCTCTGTTGATTCTGTTGTGAGGGTTTTATTTGACCTTGACCCCGCCCGGTTTGAGGCAATGTGTTCTGTGGAATTATCTATCCTTAAAATCCACCTGTGCAGTAAGTAGATGTTACCTGGGTCATGTGTTGTTGTGTTCCCTGCTGACATTGTGCTTTCCTCACAGTGGCTCCTCGGTGGTTGTGTTGGTGCAGCTGGAAAGGGAGGAGGAGGTGACGGGACCTGTTATTGCTCCCTTATTCCCTCAGGTCAGTCAGATCGTGGGCACATCATTCTCTGTCTAAACCCTTCTCTCCTGACTCTGACAGAAACTTTTCTCAATTTCAAGATCCTCAAGCTTCAAATCCCTTCCCACCCTGGCACCTCCCGACCTCTCCCACCTGCTCAATCCCCAGCACATTATCCACTGCCTCCGCTCGACTGGCTCCGGCCTCCTGCTTGACCCTCGCGCCCTCTGTTCCACCATCGGTGGCTGCGCTTTCAGCCACCAAGCCCCGAAACTCTGGAACTCTCCCTCTCTTCCTCCGCCTTGTCCCCTCCTTCCCCATTGCGCCTGAAGACCTTCCTTTTTGACTATCTATAGTCACCTCCGCCCCCGGCTCTGCGTCGTGCTCTGTCACTGTCAAGCGCTCCGGGACGCTGCCCTGTGTGAGGGACGCTGTGTAAAAGCAAGCTGCTGCTGTTTTATCCCTTTAGAAACGGGAGGAAGGCTGGTGGGTCGTGGTTGGGGACCCCAAGACAAACAGCTTGATCTCAATCAAGAGGCTGACCCTGCAACAGAAAGCAAAGGTATATATGTTCTCGTGTATGTGGGGGGTGGGGGGGGTATTGTGGAAGCCTGTATCTCAGATTACTGGCAAAACTTCTTCCTTATATCCCCAAACTATCCTAAACTTGTTTTCTACAGAACTCTGAGAATCTCGTGATCTGATCCTTACGTTTCACCAAGTTATCAATGTCGGGTTATCTTTCTCCTTGGGCTTCCATAACTAAGTCTCTCTACAATCTCTTTCACAGTCCTCTGAGTGCCTTGTATGAATGTTATGGTCAACAAGCCTCTCCTCTGTGTTGACTGTGTTTAACATTTGCAGTGCCGGTACATCTGACACTCCACACACACGCCTCTGTTTACCAGCAGTAAATAGAAGCCCAGTTGTTAGTCGATTAACAGCTCGCTTTTCCAGGGATAATAATTTTAATTATTTCTCGACCTAACAAACTTGTTTGTGGCTGATTTGTGTTTCAGGTGAAGTTGGATTTCGTGGCTCCGGCTCCCAGCACTCAGCACTACACCCTCTACTTCATGAGCGACGCTTACATGGGCTGTGATCAGGAGTACAAGTTCAGCATCGATATCAAAGAGGCAGATAGTGAGGGTGAGAGCGACTCTGATTAAAGCAGCCCTTCCCCTCCTCTCGCTCTGACCCTTTTCTCTGGCTGTATTCTCGGCTGGAGTCGCGTAGTTTTGTAAAAGACGCTCTTATTAAGTCTCGGAGATTTGGTTACGTTTTAAAACGTCATGAACTCCTTCGTACGTCAACATGTGTGTGAATCTTTCAGACACGTTGCTTTTGTTGTATTGTCTGCCGGGGGAAATATCTTTTATCATAGAGCGAACAGAAACAGAAGGAGTACGAGGCAAAACATAACGTCTCAATGATAATTCAGTACAATATCTTTATCTGGTCGGTAAGGCTCTTCGCATTTGACTCTTATGTTACAAGCCCTAAATTGAAGGGTGGCTTTTGTGATTCCCCAGCAATGACCAGGAAGCAACTGTTTGGAGTTAGAGACAGACTTTCAGATTGACCCAGGCTTTTTGTCAGTGTCGTTTTAAAAGCAGGAAAAACTCGGAAGTGATTTTGTAAAGCTTTCTGCGTAGATCTTTTGTAAGTTGCTGACAAAAGTATAACCAGGCTGAACTGACTAACAGTTTTGGTACCAGTGAAGTGAATCCATGTCATTTGTTCACCGGTCCAGTGGGGCGTGAATTGAGCCCGAATAAAGTATTGGAGAATGTTGAATTTTAGGTTTTGCTGTGACATTTTCAACCCAAAAGATCACCTTGTGTTGAACGTTGGAGCCAAGGATGTCTGTGTGTGTGTGTGTGTGTGTGTGCTTAACCCAACTTCTCTGCTCTCTCCTCTCCTCCGGGGAAGAGGATCAGAGTTCTTGTGGGTGGGTCAAACCCAAGGAACACAGGAAGAGGAGGAGGCCATTCAGCCCCTTGAGCCTGTTCCTACGTTCCGCCATTCTATTAGATCGTGGGTGGTCGGGCCTTCAGCCTCTCTGCCCCCTACCCTTTAGAACTCCATCCCAGTCCCTTCGCTTTGCCCCCTCCCTCAAGCCCTGTCTGAAGACCCTTCGCTTTGACCACACCTTAAGTCACTCCTGCCCTCCACCCCTCCTGGTCCCAACCCCGAGCTCAGGTGCACATCCTTGACTGTCCAGAGCCTTGGGACATTCTCCTGACATGAAAGGCTCTGTGTAAATGTTGTGTGTTGTTACATTGAAATAACAGTGTGCACAACCTCTCCCTCCCCACCACCAGCACAACACATTTCACTGCAGAAAGAATGTTATTTAGTGAGCGCTTTATTGAGCCGTTGTCTTGGATTTAGACGAATACAGCACACACACACACAGCAGAGCGGGTGAAACCTGGCGAGTGGGGCAGCAGTTGTTCCTTATCCAACATCGTTGACCGTCTCAGGGATATCCCTGAGCTGCATAAAGAGAATAATAATCCTTGCATTTGATATAGTGCCTTGTCACGTTGTTGAGACGTCGCAAAGAACTTCACAGAATACACCGTAAAGAGAATTGACTGTATTTTGTGGGCGAAACCCGGCAGCCAATTGCGCTCACAGCGTCCCCACAAACAGTCGTGGATTGAGTGACCAAATTATTAATATTTTCTGAAGGAATTATTATCCCCGGAAAAGCGATCCGCCAATCGACTAACAACCGGGTTCGCATTGCAGCTCATAACCCCAGGAGACTGTCGGAGGCGAGCTACGCTGACCTTTGTTTTAATATATATATTTATAATTTAAAAAATCAGTGGTTGATAAGATTCTGAATTAAGCCTTCCAGTGCCGTCAGTGCTAACATTAGACAACACCAGCGTCAGGATATGATTGTTACAGCAACAAACAGTGTCAGTCCTGGTGAGGTGGACGCTTTGCGAGGGTGCGTTGGTCAGCGAGTGACTGGCCAGCCGGACGGCTGTGGGAATCACAGGCTGGGACTTTACGTGGAGCAGCCGGTAGCGAGTTCAGCTTCGTATCTCCAGATGGCGATATCCCCGTCGTCGCTGCAGGAAGCCAGCAGCCCGGGCTGCTTGGGGTTCCAGGCCACACAGTTGACGTCCTGGGCGTGTGCTTTGGGGACGTGGGCCACGAGGGAGAAGGTGGGCTGATGGGGGTCCGAGTTGGGGTCCTCCTCGAAGACGCGTATCGCATCATCGCCGCACGCAGTTGCTATGGCTCCGGTGTTCGGACACCTGCAACGGATTCAAAGGTAAGTCCCTGTATCACTCATTTTCTGAGTTACCTAACCTTATTAATAACAATAATAATCCTTGCATTTAATGTAGCGCCTTATCACATAGTCGAGACGTCTCAAAGCGCTTCACAGGATTTACTGTTAAGCGTAGTGACTGTACATGTTGTGAGGGAAACACAACAGCCAACTGAACACAGCAGTGTCCCACAAACAGTCGCGGATCGAGTGACCACATTATTATTATTTACTTATTGAAGGGATTATTACCCCACAAAGTAATTCGCCAATCGACAAACAACTGGGAGTTGAGGTACAGATCAGCCGTGATCTTACAGAATTGCGGAACATGCTCCGAGGGCCTGAATGGCCTCCGCCTGTTCCTATTATTTGGCTGTGATGCCAATTCTTTGAAGGCTCACAAATAAGAAATCTATGGCCTCTTAAATGAACTGTTGGGCGGCAGAGTTTTGAATGGTTTGGTGCTTGTGTTCTTGAAAATCTCTTAACAGGATTTCAGACTCACCAGGAAACGTCATAGACAGTGCGGGTGTGGTAACCGGACAAGGTGCAGATACATTTCCAGCAGGAATTAGAGCCATTGCACATTACACCTGTGTTAGAAACAGTCAAAGTCACCACAAAGCCAATAATAATAATACTTACATTTAATACAGATCCTAACAATTCGTCGAGACGTCTCAAAGCGCTTCACAGAATATACTGTAAAGTGCTGTGACTGTGTATTTTGTGGACGAAACGGGGCAGCCAATTGCGCATAGCAGTGTTGTGGATTAATTGACCCAATTTTTTGGGGGAGAGGGATTATTACTCCCAGAAAGCGATCCGCCAATCGATCAACTAACAAACCGGGTTCCTACTTACTGCTAAGTAAACAGGCGGCTGTGTGGAGTAAGGAAACTTGCCTAAGGTTTTGCCTGCCTAGGGATTGAACCCGGGTCCTCTCGCTTGTGAGGCGAGTGGTCTAACCACTGCAGTACAGGACTGATTATTAATTCTATTTAACGGATACTCACAGAAGGGTTAAAACAACAAATGATTCTGTGTGGAATACCGGTTGAATAGTAAATTATATAACTGAAAGCCCCAGATACATCAACAACAACAATTTGCACTATACAGCACACCTCACGCATGGCAACCTCCCAGCAAGCTTGACAGTGGCGGAGGCTGACACCGAGCCGGTGGTGGGAGAGGAGCTGTCAGTCGGTGCAGTCGAAGAGGAAGGTTTTCAGGCGCGACCTCAAGGTGGGAAGGATGGGGCAAGGCTGGAGGGATAGAGGGAGAGTGTTTTGGGAACAGAGGAGCTTACCCTGCTCGTTCCCCGGCTTGTACTCTTTCCAGATTTTCAGAGTTTTGTCATCGCTGCAGGAGGCCAATCGATCCCCGTTCTGATCAAACGCGATGCTCCACACTGTGGACTCGTGTCCTTCCAGTGTGTCGAAACAAACCCAGTCATCGTCCTCCTCTTTGTACAGCTTAATACTGTTGTCATAACTCCCAGATACCAACAGCTGGTTAGATTTCAGAAATACACAGTCAACATCTGCTCTGGATCACTCTTCAATCACAATCATTAGTCAGGAGGTGATGGGTTGAAGCCCTTACATTGTCTAAGCGGACTCTCCAATACAGCACTCGGGAGGGGGGGTGGGGGTCCTGGATTGTCAGAGACGCCGACCTTCAGATGAGATGTTAAACCTTACTCCCCGTCTGCCTGAAAGATCTTCCGCTGGGCTATTCCAAAAGAGAAGGGAATTTCTCCCCTCTCCCTCTCTTGGTGTCCTGGCCAACAATCCCCCTGATAAATTTGGTCACTCAATCCACGACTGTTTGTGGGACACTGCTGTGCGCAATTGGCTGCCACGTTTCGCCCACAAAATAGTCACTACACTTTACAGTATAACCTATGAAGCGTTTTTGAGATGTTTTGACGATGTGATAAGGCACGATATCAAATGCAAGGATTATTATGTTATATTTGCAATTGCCCGGTGTACAGTTGCATGTAAAACCCTTGCGTTTAGATAGAAGTATTTTACATTCACTCAAAACAGAAATGTAGGACAGCACAGAGTGTACCCAGTGCTGTACAGTCTCTCACCTCTCCGTTCGGGTGCCAGATGACATGTTTGACATCCTGGGTGTGGGCATTGAGCACACTCACACACTCGTACTCATCCTCCTCATCCACTGAAAGAGAAAGAAAAATCAGTAACAGATTATCCAACCTGGAGCTCAGGACTCCTTCAACACGTTTCCTGAAATACGTTCCCTCTCTCCCTCCTCCCCTCCAGACCAGACAATCTTATTCACTGACAATCTTCAACAAGCAGGTTGTCAGAAACTGATAATAATAGTAATAATCCTTCCATTTGATATAGCGCCTTATGTCATTGAGACATCTCAAAGTGCTTCAGGTTAGATTGTTAAAATGTAGTGACCGTGTGTTTTGTGTTTTGTGGGTGAAACGCGGCAGCCAGGAGTAATAAAACTTGCCTATGGTTTCGCTCTGCCCGGGAATCAAACCCAGGTTCTCTCGCTTGCGAGGTGAGGGCACTAACCACTACTCTATGGGACTTTTGATCCATTTCGATAGCCATTTTCTCACCTTCCCAAACCCACACACTTTTGTCACGACTGCAGGTCGCCAGCAGGTTGCCTGACGGAGCCCAAGCGACAGACTTCACCTCGTTCTCGTGTCCTTCCAACGTTGTAATGCACTGTGTGAAGGAAATACTGGGAGTCAGCAGGTAACCTCCAACCTGCAGTCAGCTGTGCTTTTGTGAGATCTGATCTTACCCCCCACCCCACCGCCAGTTACCAGAACAGTTCTGCGTCAGCTATTCGGAGGCATGTGTGTGACTCCAATCATTGACACATCGCTGGGAGATGCGTGAGAGAAAGAACGAGACGGATTGCGATAGAGAGAACGAGACAGACTGATTGAAAGAGAGAAACAGAATGAGACAGACTGCGATATAGAGCGCCAGTCCCTCGGGCCGTCTCCCGATGTGAAGGGCACTACAGAAATGTAATTTTGCATTGTGTAGACAAGAGAGCAGCAGGAACCCTGACTAACGATCCGTCTCATTAACCCGGGCCGAAGAGAGCGAATAGCTGCTCAGACCGCAGCCAGACTGAGATTAATGCTCTTCCTTACCTCAAAGCCGCCATCCTGCTTCCTCCAGATACAGGTCGTTGCGTCGAAGCTGACTGAGGCCAAGTAGTTCCCACAGGGAGACCAGGCCACCTTCCTCACAGTGCGCTGGTGCCCATCCTCCAACACCCACTTACACACCCACTCCGTCCCTGGGGGAGAGAGAGAGAGGGAGAGAGACAAACGTCAGCACAAGGTAGCAGGTAGGGTTGCCTTGTGACCGTTTTTTGCACAGCTTTGCCAATCCACCTTAAATCTATAAAGCACTTTGAGACGTCCTGACGATGTGATCAGACTCTACATCAAACTCAAGAAATTATTATTATTATTATTACTACAATGAAACTCACGCAAGTCTGATCTATATAAATTGCACAACTGCCCAAGTCGCGTTCGAGAGCTTATATTCTGTGCCAGGTTTGACATACTTTGCACAAGTCCTGGTAAATGTCTGGTGCCAACTAATAACGACTTACCAGTTGGGAGTTAGGTGTGAGTCGTGTCAAACTTGCCGAGAGCGTAAACTCTTGAACGGGTTTACATTAATAATAATAATAATAATAATAATCCTTGCATTTGATGTAGCGCCTTTTATCCTCTTACCCTAAGTCGGGCTTCTCTAAGTGACTCTTTAAAGAAGAAAATCCGGTCACTCAAACCACGGCCGCTCGTGGGGACGCCGCCGGGCGCAACCGGCTGCCACCCCCCCCCTCCCCCCCCCGTTTCGCCCACAAATCAGTCGGCGGCAATACCCGGCGAAGCGCTTGGGGACGTCTCGAGGACGTGATGAGGCGCCGTATCAAACGCCAGCGTTGCCGTCATCGCGCACCGAAGCCCCTTCACGGGGACACCCCGTAAAGCGTAGTGACCGTGTGCTTCCGTGGGCGAAACATTGGGGCAAACCTACGACTTAGGGCGAGTATACGATTTACACAGATCAGAGTTACAGGCCCCTCCCTCCCCCCAGCCCCGGGGGCCCCCCCTCTGGCTCACCCTCCGAGGCCCAGACCCGCACGGCCCGGTCCCCGCCGCACGAGGCGAGCAGTGACCCCGCGGGGCTCCAGGCCGTGAACCAGGCCCGCGAGTCCGGGTGGCCCGCGAGCCGCCCCTCCAGCTTCAGCCGCTGCTTCATCGCGCGTCCAGCGGCCGCGCAGGCGCCGTCCTCTCCCCGGGCAGCAGCCCCGCCCGCATTTGCCCGGAGGACCTCTTCGGAGCGGCCGCTGATTGGACGCCTATCGCCGTCCATCAAGTCTCCGCGCGGTCCCGCCTTTCCCCGCCCCACCACCGCATCCCATGTCGTCGATTGGCTGGAGGACCTCTTCGGAGCGGCCGCTGGTTGGTCGCCTATCGCCGTCCATCAAGTCTCCGCGCGGTCCCGCCTACCCCTCCCACCACCACACACCATGTCGTCGATTGGCTGGAGGACCTCTTCGGAGCGGCCGCTGATTGGACACCGCTGCCGCCAGTCAGTTCGGCCCCCGCTGCGCGCGAGGGAAACCGTTGACGTCAGATGCGTCGGCTGCGGCCGTTGGAGCAGCAGCGACTCGGAGCGGCGCCGACCCATCATGTACGGACCCGCGGGGCCGGGAGGCCGGAGGCGGCGCGGGGGCGGCGGCGCTCGGCCTAAGCAGACGGAGCGGAGCCTGGCCTCGGCGCTGCCCGGGGCCCTGTCCATCACGGCGCTGTGCACGGCCCTGGCGGAGCCCGCGTGGCTGCGACTCCACGGCGGCGTCTGCCCGCGTCAGGAGCTCGGGGTGTCTGACGTGTTGGGGCCGGTCAGCGAGGCCCTGCTGGAGGGTGAGAGAGAGAGGGGGAGACACCGGGGGGCGGAGGGGCGGTCAGTAATGTTACAATCCCGTAGTTATATTGTCTGTTGGTGGGGGCGGCGCTGTCTGTCGCCTTTCGCCTACGCAACGCACAGTCACTACACTTTACAGCGTATCCCGTGAAGCGCTCTGAGACGTCCGGACGCCGTGATCAGGTGCGGGGTCACATGCCAGGACGCGGTCCAAAAGGAGGGTCCACCCTCAGCCGCTCTGCCTCTCCCCCCCCTCCCCCCCCCACTCCCCCCCCACCGCCTCCTCCTCTCGGATCACGACTGAAGACTTTCCTCTTCCACCGTGTTACGGCCCTCACCGTCCCCACCGTCCCCACTGCCCCCACCACTCCCACTGCCCCCACCGCCCCCACTGCCCCCACTGGCCCCTCCGCCCCCACCGTGGTGCTCCCGTCACTGTCCGGCGCTCGGGGACGCTGTCCCGGTTGAAGGGCGCTGTGTAAACACATGTTATTGCTGTGTCTCGTCTGAGGACGTGTGTCCGAGGACAGGCCATCCGCCCTCACTGCCGCTCGCTGCTGAACGTCAGGAGAGGGTCTAAATTTGAAATGAGTTACAGAAAGAACCCACATTTCTATGGTGCCTCGTGTCGAAGCGTTTCACTATCGGCTGCGCTAGTTTGAATCCTTATTATTATAAAGTCGGCAAAGAGGGTCACAAGTCCGTACGTAGAGTGATATGATCCTGAACAGGACAGGATGTTGGTTTTAATGCATCATCTGACAGGGTTGTGCCGAGTTGCTGTCTGACGTGTACAGAGGTTTAATTTTGCTCACTCCTTCCCAGATTACTGTATGAACCCTCAGACCATTCTCCTGCTGCGGGTCATCGCTGCCTTCTGCTTCCTGGGTATCATCTGCAGTCTCTCTGCATTCCTGCTTGACGTTTTTGGACCCAAACACCCAGCGTTGAAAATCACGCGCAGATACGCGTTTGCACACATTCTGACCGGTGAGTAACATGGAAGTCAGTGACGGACATCCACCCGACATGAAAAGTACAATATAAATGCAACTTGTTGTTGAAGTTTGTTTGCAGTTGGGTGTGGTTTCTTTTGCCTGTTACATTGCGTAACTTGGAACATATTATGATGACGTATTATGCCTGCTTTCCTGTGTCATTTAATTGCTGGAGAAGTATTTAGCACCAACTTCCTTCTCAGATTGGATTCTAGTTAATAGGCTTTGCTGCTTATGGATCAGGAGACGGTGTGTACGTTTAGTAAGCAGGAAATGATGAATTGTAAATGGTGACCACCACATCCTCACCCTTAAGGCTTCTCAAGGCTAAACAAGAACTACCCCTTGGGTTAGCTGAACTGTCTGTTCCCAAGCTGTCTGTTTCCAACCTTTAAGTTTCCTTACTCCACACAAATGCCTCTGTTTACTAGCAGTAAGTAGTAACCTGGTTGTTAGTCGATTGGCGGATCGCTTTCCAGGGGTAGTAATCCCTTCCAAAAAAAACAATAATGTGGTCACTCAATCCACAGCTGTTTGTGGGACGCTGCTGTGCACGGTTGGCAGCTGCGTATCGCCCACAAAAACACACAATCATTACGCTTAACAGTATATTCTGTGAAGCGCTTTGAGACGTCTCGAAGACGTGATAAGGCACTATGTCAAATGCAAGGATTATTAGTGGTAGTATTATTATCCTGGATAGATGAGACTTATTTACACCAACGCCAAGACGTGAGCATCAGACCGAGAAAGAAATAGCCAGTGTGCTGTGCAGTGTAACCGCGGTGGCTTTACCTCGCTCACCGGCTTTCCCTCTTGCAGTCCTGCAGTGTGCCACAGTGATTGGCTTCTGCTACTGGGCCTCAGAGCTGATCCTGGCCCTCCAACAACAGCACAAGAAGTACCACGGTTCCCTGGTGTACGTGACCTTTGCCGTCAGCTTCTACCTGGTGGCTGGAGCCGGAGGAGCCTCCATTCTGGCCACAGCGGCCAACTTGCTGCGTCACTATCCCACCGAGGAGGAGGAGCAGGCGCTGGAGCTGCTGTCAGAGATGGAGGAGAACGAACCATATCCAGTAGAGTACGAGATTGTCAACCAGTTCCAACCTCCACCCGCTTATACACCGTGAACGCTAGGACGTGTGTGTATGTGTGTCATTCATTCCCCTGCGTATCTCCAGTCTGTCACGCTTCACTCAGCCTTCTTTTCATACGGTTGTGAGTTTCCTGTCGATCACACTTTCCGCCAACCTTTCCTCACCCTCAAAGCCGACTCCTACGTTCCGCACTGACTATGTGCTGCCCATCTCCACCTCGCAAAGGAAATGTTGTCTTCTCTCCTGAACCTAACAAATGATCCCTGTTCTTGCACATAACTTTCTGACGAGATTTACATTTTTCCGACCTGCAAACTGGCTTCAAACTGGGTTTCGACGACTGTGTAAAAAAAAGGAAGTAACATTTTTTGTAAACTTTTTTATTTTAGAAAATAAACACGTCTCTTATTTCATGATATTATAAATAAACCAGAAAGTTCCGCTGTGATTAAACTTCACGATTATTCCTTCCTTCTTGGTGCAGTAAAACTCGCATAAGTCTGATCTGTATCAATCGTATAACCGCCTGTCTTACATCTGCCCCAAGTCCCTTTGAATTTCCTATTACTTATAGGTTTGACATAACTCATACTTTGCATTAGTCATATTCAGTGTATGATCCCAACTGATACAACTTGTGTGAGGTTTACTGTAATGTTTCAATTATATTTTAAGTCACTTTCAAGAAGATTAATCCCTTTCATAGGGTGATGATGTGGACCTTTGCCGTCAAGTGAATTGCAGGACAGCTGTAGGTCACACAAGCCTGAGGGGTTGGGATGCGTCACTCATACACTGGTGTGAAGATTTTCAGTCGTTCAGCGGAGATTGAGTAAAATTGGAACCATCCTGCTAACTCCAGCAACTTGCATTTATATATTGCCCCTTCACATGGGCTTAAACTACTGTGTGTAAGTGAAAGGGACCTGTTTATTGGGGGGAGGGGGTAAGAAAGAGCAGAGGCACGTATGTGTATTTTAGTATTGTAATCGTTGAGAAACGAGAAGGATTGTCGTCTTGACTTGTGTGTCTCACTGGTGAATTGGGACCTGTTTTTGTGAAATGTTGTAATGATCTCTGTGCTCAGCCCATTCGGATTATTGGTCCATTGTTAGTAAAGATCAAGACAAAATGCTGACATCAACTGATAGCAATACATCAAAGCTTGTTATTCGGGGTCTTTTTACAATAGAAATCTGATGGTGGGTTGACTATTGAGCCAGACACTTTCTGGGTCATGTGTTATCCTGGATTGTGAGAGCAGTCCCTTGAAAGTAGCTGTGAGTCTGGCCCAGCTACTGAATGTGGACATTCAGAGGAAGGCAGGATATTTGCAAACAAAATCCACCATTTGGGTCAGAACCTCAATGGTCATTCAACTGCGAGTCTTGGTGAGACTAACTGTGAATTTGCAGACAGCTATTTGCCAGTGCAGTGTTCACTGTTCAGACCAGTGCATCAGCCACACACACAGAACCACGATTCCCTCAGGAGAAAGCAACGCGATTGCTCAGAGGGAGGGACTCTGAACGATCATCACCAATGTGCACACTGTGAGTTGCCAAAAACCGAGACAGAAACTGCTCGATCAGTCTGTCTGTCTGCTGATGGTTTGCTGGTCTAAAGATTCACTGTTGGGGAGTTTCCTGCTCAGTGTCTAATTAAACCTCAGAGTGGGAAATCAATGGACTGTTGTTTCTCCTTCAATTCGAAAGCCGATGGACAAGAGCTTAATTGTTGTGATTTAATGCCATATGTCGTCACGCACGAGCACTGTGAAAGGTGCTCATTCCTGGCCATAAGCTTAGCGTTGTCAAACCATTACTCTGTTCACATCCCAAAGAACTTCCAAGCTAACCTATGCAGGGTAGCCTCAGTATATCATCCCCATGATATCATCCCCGTGCATGTGCTCTGAATCCAGATGTAATGGAAGACAACTTCAGTTAGCTGGGAACGATTAACTAACAGCCCAGTAAGCTGCCAGATGAGAGATTTTATATAAAGTTTATTAGAAAGTAAAATACCAACAAAATTCTAACTACATAATTGCACATGAGATCAGTTATTTACAAGGAGAAGCTTCAATGTCCCAAACACACTCCACATTGAGGTGGTGGACTGGCTCAGGCCGCCTGACTGACAGGCCCAGGAGATCTGCTTGTCTTCAGTAGGTAGGGAATGATGTGTAGAGAACTGACAGTCCTGTAGATGATCATCATCTGGAGACGAGAGGAAATGCAGAGAAAAGGCGGACAGTTCTAGACTTCATCACAGCTGAAGCCTGCTTGTGTAAAGGTGACCAGGATGGGACCCGGACAAGATCAGATCCCTTGTTTTATGAGGACATCAGACAAGTCTTCCTGTCCTAGGATCTCCAGATTCTGGGGAAAAAAACAATGAAATAGTTTAAACGTCTTTTCTAGATGCACGTGTACACCCCCCACCCCAGTCAGAACAGCCTCAACACAGAACAGCCTTCCTGCTCTAGATTGACTCAGTCGCTGACATTGACTCTCTTCTGTTTGGCACAAGAGACAGAAGTAGATTACTAAACCCCAAATTTTTCTTCAAGTTGAAATCATTCCCAGGCGGGACGAAACCTCAGGCAAACTTCCTTACTTACTCCACATGCCCCTGTTTACCGAGCAGTAAGTAGGAACCTGGTTGTTAGTTGATTGGCTGATCACTTTCCGGGGTAATAATCCCTCCAAAAAATAATAATGTGGTCACTCAACCCACGACTGTTTGTTGGACACTGCTGTGTGTAATTGGCTGCCCCGTTTCAGCCACAAAATACACAGTGAATCCACTTTATGGTATATCCTGTGAAGCACTTTTGAGACGTCTCAACGATGTGATAAGGCGCTATATCAAATATGAGGATTAGTATCATAATTAAAGCCTGAGAGTTGCTTACCTTCTCGTTGGCTAAGTGGAGCAAACAAGCGAAGGCCAAGGGAATGGAGAGATTCTTTGCCATTGAGTTAGGTAACCTGCAGCCAGAGGAGAGATCTCATCAGAGAAGCAGCAACACAGCCCAGTGCCCCGGTGTTACTCAGTGTGGAAGCCCTCTCCCACACACGGCTTCCACCACCCATGTGTGTGTGGAGTTTTCATAGTAAAACAGTTCTTTAACAAAGCAAGTATAATTGCTGATGGAGCTGAAATGAGGCGAGTTAATAACTCAAGGGTTTACCTTTCAAACAGACGCTTGGTGATGGCTGTAAAGCTTTGTTCTCCTTTCACAGCGTCCACCAGAATCTCCTCAGTGATGCCGTTCTGTTACAACAACAACAAAATTACATTTGTATGACAACAAATATCAATTACATGGCGCCTTTCAGGTCAGGAGGGCGTCCCAAGGCGCTGGAGAGTCAGGGATCCGCACCGGAGCTGGTGGTTGGGATCAGGAGGGGTGGAGGGTGCGGGTAGAAAGATGACCGAAGGGGCGGACAAAGAGGAGGGTCTTGAGAGGGTTTATGAAGGAGGCAAGGGAGGGGGAGAGGTGAAGAGACTGTGGGTTGGGGTCCCAGAGGGATGGGCAGGGTGGGGGAGGTGGAGCAAGCCGGACAAGACAAGTCAATGCTTTGAATGGGACCTCAGTAGGAGAGGGACTGGAGTCACAGCAGAGCAGCTCACACGGTGAGGTGGGGATTGCTGCTCTCCTCTCAGAGACGGGATCGCACTGTGAGACTCCTTCCAACTGGTCACTCAAACCACGACTGTTTGTGGGGCACTGCTGTGCCCAATTGGCTGCCGTGCTTTACCCATAAAATACACGGTCACTACACTTTACAATGAGAGGCGCTTTGAGACGTGATAAGGCGCTGTATCAAATACAAGGATTATTATTATTTTCAGATTGTGCCACCTCACCTCTCTCTCTGGCACTTCTGTCAGCAGCTGCCACATGTTCTGTTTCAGCCGCTTCACATCCACCTTTTTGGCAGTTTTTTCATAATTCAGTAGGATTTTATTGACCTGTAAGATTCAGAGTTGGGATTATAGTCACTCAATCCTGTGAAAAGGCGCTATATCAAATACAAGGATTATTATTATTATAATCCACACTATTCAATGGTGTGATTAATTCTATATCAAATGCAAGGATTATATTAAGCATTATATCTAAATATAGACGTACGTCTTTGCATTTCAGCCAATCAGCAGAGCTTGAGTGAGTGGCAGAGTGAATGAGTTTCCAGACAGACAGACAAACCAGAGAGTTTAAGTGCTTTGAGACGTCCCCCCCATCGTGAAATATAAATGTTCCGAGGTGTTAGCACAGATGTCTCGATTGTGATCGCTGGAGAAAGCCTGAACATAGGTCCCTCGAGCTCCAGCAGAGGAGCAGGCCCGTCTGACTGCAGTTATAGAGATGTCTCTAACCCACTTACTCTGTGAGGCTCTGCCACCAGGTTTTCTCCTCTGTACGTGGTGATGTTCAGTTGGTTGCTGCCGGGCTCGATGCCGCACTCTCCTTGCTCCAGCCCTGCGTCAGCTACAAACCCATCCTGTTCATCATCACTGTCAATCTGCGGGGAACAGGGGGAGAGGTCACTGTCTGCTGTGAGGAGAAACTACAGCTACAGACCTGGCACTGGGAGGGAGGGAGGGAGGGAGGAAGGGTTAACAACAGGGGAGATGAGCTCCTGTTGAGACCTCAGTCACCCACCTGAACTCCGGGGCAGAAGTTGGAGGTGTCGTTGGCGTTGTTATAATCGTATTCCCCGATTCCCTCGTCCTGCTCTGAGGAGACGCTCTCAGGCACCGTCCACTTCAGCTGCAGACAGGCCATCAGATAAACACTGGTGAGAATCCGTTCATCGCAGTGACAAATAGTAATAATCCTTGCATTCGATATCATCTTTGAGACATCTCAAAGCGCTTCACAGGATATACTGTAAAGTGTAGTCACTGTGTATTTTGTGGACGAAACGCGGCAGATAATTGCCCCTCCCACAAACAGTCACGGATTGAATTACTGGGGAAACAGACAGCCAATGTCAACACGCGTTTGATTACCGTGATGGAAGGTTTGAGAGACAAGCGGATGAGGTGGTCTGGATTGTAGTGGAAATCTGCTGGCAGCGTGGTCAGCTTTTTACTGTGTTTGCCCAGAGCAGCGTGCGAGATGATTGTGGAAGCCTGGAGGAGACAGTCACACCCTAAACATCACCACCACAACAACACATTACATTTACACAGCGCCTTTCACGTCAGGAGGACATTCCAAGGCGCTGGACAGTCAGGGAATTGGACACAGACCATATCAGCCCCATTCAGAAATAGTCCCAACCACACATGAACACTGACGCACCCGTCACCCACCAGTTTGATTGTCACTTGCTGAATATTGTGATGTACGAACCTTGGTCTTTCTGAAATAAGTCTCGAAGACTATTTCCTCGTTAAGATCAATTTCAAAGCTTTTCTTGGCTGTTTTTTTCCTGGTCTCACCGACAGTAACAACGTCTGCTGGAGCACGGGAGGAGGGAGGGGAAAGAGAGACTGTTACTGAGAATGCTTTACAACATTGTGTTAATTTGTACATAATAACAATAACCCTTGCATTTGATATTATCACATTGTTGAGATGTCTCCAAGTGCTTCACTGAATTTACAGTAAAGTGTAGTGACTGTGTATTTTGTTTATGCACAGCAGCGTTTCCCAAACAGCCTTGGAGTGAGCAACCAATTTTATTTTAGGGGATTGTCGACCAGAACATTGGGGGAGAGAGAGAAGCTCCCTTCTCTTTTCGAATAGTGCCGCGGGATCTTTAACATCCACCTGAACAGGCAGATGGAGAACTCAGTTTAACGTCTCATCCAAAGGACAATGCAGCCTCTCCCCCAGCGCTGGACTGTTTGATTCCAAGTCCCAACGTGGGGGATCCAACCCACAACCTTCTGACTCAGAGGTGAGAGCGTTACCAACTGCACCAGGATGACACGCAGATAACCTGTGATGTGTCTCTCACTGCACTCTCACCACGAGGTGATGGGACTGACCTTTGTGGCGAGCTCGGAACCGCCAGTGTTCTGGCCCTGCCCACATCTTCATCATCCTCGGGCTGAAGTAGGAGTATTCCCCTGGCTGCTGTGACAGCTGCAGACACAAGCTCCCAAAATCACCAGCTCCCAGAGTCACCACTTCCTGGCTGTAAGACACACATAAAACATTTTCATCAGGCAACACTGATCTAAAATGTTACTGAGGGGAAGTGCATTCAGAAACGTGGTATAAACAAGAACTGTATCCAAACCTGTACCAGTGCTCAGCACCTCTTGCTCACACTTCAATCTTTGCTGAAAGGCAGCAAGGATAAGTCACTCACTGCAGCCACATGGAATGCCATGTTGTAGTTACAACGACAGTGCCAGAGGTAAGGTTTTGTGTCCAGCGATTGAGAGGATACAGAGGAGAGCAACCAAAACGATAGAGGGGATGGAGGACTTGACTATGAGGAGCGATTAGGTCAACTTGATATACTCATGCTAGAGAAAAGAAGGTTGAGAGGTGATATTATCGCAGGCTTTAAAATTCTAAAGTTGAACAGATAATGTAGACCATGATAAGATGTTTTATCTTCTCCTGAACAGTTGATCTAGAGGACACGGCCTGCGATTGAAGGGGGGAAATTCAATGCAATAGATTTCTGTTAAGAAATAATATCAAGATACAGTATATAGTTTGGGACATGACATGTGCAAGAGACTGCCAGGATCGTGGAAGGCAAACTGGATGGCCTTCTTTTGTCGAGCAAACTCTTAAATTCCACCTCGTACATAGTTTCAGCCGCACATTGCTGTTCTCAGCCTGCACGTACTGTGAAGTTTAGTGAAGACCTTTACCTGACGCCCACTCGATCAATCTTGCAGGCTTCCCTGTGCTCTGTAAACGTGGTGCCCCCCTGGTCTCCCCCTCCACCATCATCGTCGCACAGGTCCCCGTCAAACGCGTCCTCGGGGGCATCATCCTGGTCCCCAAACTCCGGCTCCGCGTCCATGTCAAACAAGTGCTCGCTTTTCTTGAATCTGTCCATTATTGACGAGACCAACTGCAGAGCATCAATGAGATACACACAGTTAAGTTTAAATGTACAGTTAACTAACCAGAGGTGTCAGGCCAAAATACAGCCGCTGTAATGTGTTGTTGTTTACCTGCTGATCTTCAGCTTCACTATCCCACTTTGTGAACTGAAAGTCTTCAAACGAAGGACAGATGCGCTTGCCTTCCACAGACTGCTGAAGGGCTGACAGACATTAAACAGACACTCAGTCAGACACAGACACAACACATTGCATTTATAGAGCACATTTCACATCCAGGCGTAAACCAGGCGTCCGACTTGGATTAAGTAGGACTTGATCAGATTGTAAGGGGATGGTCAGAAACTGGCATAACTTACTATTAACTACACACATACGCGCATACACAAACACACACATAGCATGAAGATACATTCCCTGTTCTTCCTCTCACATACATTTCAAGAGAAGCTGGAAGCACAACTGTTTCTCACCGACTAACCGAGGGACGGGATTAAAAACAAAAGTCTTGCGTGTTAATAATAATAATAATCCTTGCATTTGCTATAGCGCCTTTCACGCCATTCAGATGTCTCAATGCGCTTCATTGGATATACTGTAAAGTGGAATGACTGTGTACTTTGTGGGTGATATCGCACCTTTACATCAGGAGGACGTCTCAAAAGTGCCCGAGTGAACATTGTATCACACCAGAAGAGTCAGGGTTAAACCTACCTGCGAGACCTGAAATCTCCACATATGTTAGAGGCACTGGCGGTGGAGCAGGGCCGGTCTGAAGGAGTTTCACGTCGGAATCGAACAGTAACTCGGAGCAGTGTCCATACGTCTGCAGGTTCATCAGAAACACCCCCATCGTACTGCCCTCGTCAAAGGAGAAGGCCGCTTTTTGGAACATGGGATCATTCTACAAATCACAAGAAATAGGACTAAATCTACAGATCGACTCATTTTAAACCTAAAATCAGCTGATAAACTTTTAAACTGCCCTTTTTTAGAAGCAACTACCATCCACCACATCAATAAAATCATACTTGATGTTAGAAGAGATGCCTAAAGAGAGATCAGTCAAGCTTTGAATCACTTTCCGTTAACCCAGTCGGCAACATGGACAGGACCAGGCTGATTTGCCATCCCCTCACGTTCACTGGTGAGTTACCCAGCTCCAAGCACCCAGGAAGCCACACAGCAGTAATAAGATGCCATCCACCAAAGGAGGAAATTGAGACGAAGCACACACTTACCTCACATTTTATGTCCGCTGCACTGTACGTAATGTTGTTCAGATTTTGCTCAATGGTTTTGTATGAGTGTTTTTTTCTCCACTGCTTCTGGGGATTTTTTGGGTTCCCGTCGGCATCGAGCTTGTTCCGGCTGCTCTCTGCGCACAGACACAGGATGTCACATTGGGTTTAAACATCGCACAGAAAAAAATCACATTACAGTGAGTTTAAACAGAATAAGTTTAATAATAATAAACCTTGCATTTGATATAGCACCTTATCACGTCATTGAGACGTCTCAAAGCACTTCACAGGATCCACTGTAAAGTGTAGTCACTGTGTGTTTTGCGGGCAGACTGGAAGCAAGTGTGGGATGAGCAAGTGTAAAGAGAAGGCTACCCTATTTCTGAGCAATGCTTTTTAAATTTTCTGTTTCTTTCTACCATTTAAAAAAAAGCCAATTGCAGTTGCTCACCTTCAGCCTTATCTGCAGTCTCTGGGTTCTTACCCAGGCCTCCGAGAACTCTGAACACATCGGAGTGAATGGCGTCCACTCGCACAGCGTAGATCTTAGCACTGGCATCCAACGTGCCGGCTGCCATCTGCAAACCATGAGTCAACAATATAATAGGATATAATAAGGCTGGCCATACCCCATCAGCCAGAACAAATTATTCCCTTACATTATACAGAAAACAGAAGTCAGAGTCTCGGATTGAACAGGGAGCCCAGAGTAGGAAGGTAAGTAGGAACTGAACACGTTTCAGCACACTGTGACTCTCTAACCTTGAAGTTGATGAGTTCAGAGTCTCTCTCCTTGAGGAGGTCGGCCATGTAATCTATCAGGTGAAGACCAAAGGCATTCTTTGCGGTGATTTTCTACAAGAAAAAATAATACTAATAATCCTTGTATTCGGTATAGCGTCTTTCGTGTCGGGAGGACGTCTCAAAAGTGCCTCACAGGATTTAATACAAAGTATAGCACACAAATGCAAATTAGATTTGCTTTCAAAAGCAAATGAGATAGGTTTCTGTTAGGTAATAATACACAGTATATAGTTTGAGACACAACATGTCAAGCGGCTGCCAGGACAATGGAAGGCAAACAAGATGGACCTTGGTCTTCTTTTCGCCAGCAAATTCTTGTGTTCAAATGGGAAGCATTAAAGAGGCAAAGCTTCCTGTCGGAGCAAATCAAATAACATTTTAATATTCTAGATCCAAGAACTACAAATAGACAATATCTTTTTTTTAAAATGGAACAGTAACACACAGTTTCTTGGAGAAACATCCAATTGTAAAACTGAGCACAAATATCACTTGACTTACATTTTCGGAGCACAGTTTGATACAGGTTGAGTAATGCTCTGATATCTGGTTATTTGACAGAGTGGCATTGCAGAATTGTGGTGTGCTCCTGAAACAAACACACACGCACACAAACACAAGGTCAGGATCAGTTAGCCTCCTGGACAACACAGCAACAAGACTGTACGGCAAGATTCAGGACACAATATGTGCCCATTGCACATTTTTCTAATAACAGACTGATGTCGTCACATTGGTGAAAACTAATCAGCCCAATCCCAACAATGCCAAAGTCATCGCATTACATCAACAACCACAAATGACATTTAGACATTTACACGGCGCCTTTCCCGTCAGGAGGACGTCCCAAGGCGCTGGACAGTCAGTGATTTGTTTCCGAGCTAGAGGTTGGGATCAGGAGGGGTAGAGAGAGGGCAGGGGTAGGAGAGTGACCTAAGGTGCTGTCAAAGATCTTCAGATGGGCCTTGAAGGAGTCAAGTAAGGGGGCGAAGGCAGAGAGACTGCAGGATGGGGTTCCAAAGGGTGGGGGCAAAGAGGCTGAAGGTCCGGCTACCGATGGTGGGGCGGGCGGGGCCGGGCGGAACTTGGAGTGCACCATTTTATTATTTGACTTTATTCTTATTTTATTGCCACGGACGAGGCAAGTGGGGATCCCACCTCGTCGCCGGCGACACCAGAGGGCTCTCGGTGTTGCTCAGCTGGAGATCGATCAGCCTGGAGCGTCGCCGCTCTCTTCTCTCGCGTTCGTCGTCGTTCCCCGCCACGCTCAGCAGCATGGCGGCCCCGGCGCTCTGCACCGCTTGCCGCTTTGCGCCCGAAGACGCAGAGGCGCGCTCGGCCATCTTGTCCCCCTGGAACTGTGGGGTGGAGGTAGTCATCGCCACCTGTGAACCAAACACTCGCTGGTCAGCAGAGGCGCCGTCAAGTCAAGTCAAGTCTTGATGATGATTTATATTATTATTATTATTGTTGTGTGGCGCAGACACCGGAAGCGCTGCGGCCGTTCTGATTGGCCACCGGCTGCGGGAGGCCGGGCGGTGATTGGTCGGTCTGGTTAGTGACGCGCTGAGGGAGGGGAATCCCTGGGGAAACCCTGTCAGTGTCAGCGCACAGACTGAGGGGTGGGAGTGACTGGAGGGGTCTGAGAGCAGCTCTCACACACACACACACACACACCACACACCGAGGAGCCTCCAGCCCGGGACCCCCCCCCCCCCCCCTGGTCGGCCCTGTCTGCCCCCACCACAGCCTCCGAGAATGTAGGGAGGAAACCAGACGCCTCCATTGCTGTGAGACTTAACATTCTCTGCTCAAAAAAAAAGCAAACCCCGGGATTATTGATGCACCCATTTCAGTGGTGTAACGGTGAGCGAACGGGTGCATTTTATCTCTCTTTCTTCGGATACTGTCTCTTTCTCTCTCTCTCTCTCTGCGTTCTCTCTGGCTGAAAGCCTGTGTGTGCACGGTTTATTTTGTTGCAAGGGGCGTGGGTCTGTCTGTCTGTCTGTCTGTCTGACTGTGTGTCTGTAAATGAAAAAAAAACCGAACCCTCGAGAGAACACAATGAGACAGACCCGCAGAGCCCTTCTCCGGGGCTGGGCTTTGTCTCTCATTCCCAGCCTGGCAGTCACACACACAGACAGACACACAGACAGACAGACAGAGAGACAGAGAGAGCCCTTCAACCGAAAGCAATGTTGGGAGGGCACCCAGGGCCCATATGTTTTGAATGATCGATCGCCAAATCTGATTAAAGGGCCGTCTGCGGGTGAGAGATGCATGTACTCAAAATATAGACGGGAGTAAGTAGGGTTAGCTGCAGCGAGGCCATCTGTGTGTGTGTGCATGGCGTGGAAGGGATTACCAGCTGCATTTTCTGTTGTGACACCTGGGTGTGTGTGAAGGACACCCACAAAGGGAAGAGGAAAGCGTTTGCAGAGAGAGGAGGGATGGAATGCCTTAAAATGGGTTTCAGTGAAGCGTGAGCTTGGCCAAGGTTGGGATATTTCAAAGCTGGAGAGCGGTCGGAGGAAGGGAAGAAGATTGCTGTTAAAAAGGGGGTGAGGTTTCTAACAGAGGAGAAATAGGAGAGACAATGGGATGGATTTTGATTTCCATACAATGAGAATGTGGGAGGACAAGCAGCCAGGGGTAGGGGAGGTTGGCAGATGGAACCCTTAGGCAAGTAACGCTATGTTTACCTCGCAGTGAGCATCACTGGCTGTTAGTCAATTGGCGGATTGCTTTTCCGGGGGTAATAAACCCTTCAAAAAAAAATGTAAAATAATAATGTGGAATGTAGGAACATAGGAACAGGAGGAGGTCATTCAGCCCATCGAGCCTGTTCCACCATTCTATGACTGATCTGTACCTCGACTCCAATTACCCGCCTTTGCCCCCATAGGATCGAACCCACAACCTTCTGACTCAGAGGTGAGAGCGTTACCAACTGCACCAGGATGACACGCAGATAACCTGTGATGTGTCTCTCACTGCACTCTCACCACGAGGTGATGGGACTGACCTTTGTGGCGAGCTCGGAACCGCCAGTGTTCTGGCCCTGCCCACATCTTCATCATCCTCGGGCTGAAGTAGGAGTATTCCCCTGGCTGCTGTGACAGCTGCAGACACAAGCTCCCAAAATCACCAGCTCCCAGAGTCACCACTTCCTGGCTGTAAGACACACATAAAACATTTTCATCAGGCAACACTGATCTAAAATGTTACTGAGGGGAAGTGCATTCAGAAACGTGGTATAAACAAGAACTGTATCCAAACCTGTACCAGTGCTCAGCACCTCTTGCTCACACTTCAATCTTGCTGAAAGGCAGCAAGGATAAGTCACTCACTGCAGCCACATGGAATGCCATGTTGTAGTTACAACGACAGTGCCAGAGGTAAGGTTTTGTGTCCAGCGATTGAGAGGATACAGAGGAGAGCAACCAAAACGATAGAGGGGATGGAAGGACTTGACTATGAGGAGCGATTAGGTCAACTTGATATACTCATGCTAGAGAAAAGAAGGTTGAGAGGTGATATTATCGCAGGCTTTAAAATTCTAAAGTTGAACAGATAATGTAGACCATGATAAGATGTTTTATCTTCTCCTGAACAGTTGATCTAGAGGACACGGCCTGCGATTGAAGGGGGGAAATTCAATGCAATAGATTTCTGTTAAGAAATAATATCAAGATACAGTATATAGTTTGGGACATGACATGTGCAAGAGACTGCCAGGATCGTGGAAGGCAAACTGGATGGCCTTCTTTTGTCAAGCAAACTCTTAAATTCCACCTCGTACATAGTTTCAGCTGCACATTGCTGTTCTCAGCCTGCACGTACTGTGGGAGTTTAGTGAAGACCTTTACCTGACGCCCACTCGATCAATCTTGCAGGCTTCCCTGTGCTCTGTAAACGTGGTGCCCCCCTGGTCTCCCCCTCCACCATCATCGTCGCACAGGTCCCCTCAAACGCGTCCTCGGGGGCATCATCCTGGTCCCCAAACTCCGGCTCCGCGTCCATGTCAAACAAGTGCTCGCTTTTCTTGAATCTGTCCATTATTGACGAGACCAACTGCAGAGCATCAATGAGATACACACAGTTAGTTTAAATGTACAGTTAACTAACCAGAGGTGTCAGGCCAAAATACAGCCGCTGTAATGTGTTGTTGTTTACCTGCTGATCTTCAGCTTCACTATCCCACTTTGTGAACTGAAAGTCTTCAAACGAAGGACAGATGCGCTTGCCTTCCACAGACTGCTGAAGGGCTGACAGACATTAAACAGACACTCAGTCAGACACAGACACAACACATTGCATTTATAGAGCAATTTCACATCCAGGCGTAAACCAGGCGTCCGACTTGGATTAAGTAGGACTTGATCAGATTGTAAGGGGATGGTCAGAAACTGGCATAATTACTATTAACTACACACATACGCGCATACACAAACACACACATAGCATGAAGATACATTCCCTGTTCTTCCTCTCACATACATTTCAAGAGAAGCTGGAAGTACAACTGTTTCTCACCGACTAACCGAGAGACGGGATTAAAAACAAAGTCTTGCGTGTTAATAATAATAATAATCCTTGCATTTGCTATAGCGCCTTTCACGCCATTCAGATGTCTCAATGCGCTTCATTGGATATACTGTAAAGTGGAATGACTGTGTACTTTGTGGGTGATATCGCACCTTTACATCAGGAGGACGTCTCAAAAGTGCCCGAGTGAACATTGTATCACACCAGAAGAGTCAGGGTTAAACCTACCTGCGAGACCTGAAATCTCCACATATGTTAGAGGCACTGGCGGTGGAGCAGGGCCGGTCTGAAGGAGTTTCACGTCGGAATCGAACAGTAACTCGGAGCAGTGTCCATACGTCTGCAGGTTCATCAGAAACACCCCATCGTACTTCCCTCGTCAAAGGAGAAGGCCGCTTTTTGGAACATGGGATCATTCTACAAATCACAAGAAATAGGACTAGATCTACAGATCGACTCATCTTAAACCTAAAATCAGCTGATAAACTTTTAAACTGCCCTTTTTTAGAAGCAACTACCATCCACCACATCAATAAAAATCATACTTGATGTTAGAACAGATGCCTAAAGAGAGATCAGTCAAGCTTTGAATCACTTTCCGTTAACCCAGTCGGCAACATGGACAGGACCAGGCTGATTTGCCATCCCCTCACGTTCACTGGTGAGTTACCCAGCTCCAAGCACCCAGGAAGCCACACAGCAGTAATGAGATGCCATCCACCAAAGGAGGAAATTGAGACGAAGCACACACTTACCTCACATTTTATGTCCGCTGCACTGTACGTAATGTTGTTCAGATTTTGCTCAATGGTTTTGTATGAGTGTTTTTTTCTCCACTGCTTCTGGGGATTTTTTGGGTTCCCGTCGGCATCGAGCTTGTTCCGGCTGCTCTCTGCGCACAGACACAGGATGTCACATTGGGTTTAAACATCGCACAGAAAAAAATCACATTACAGTGAGTTTAAACAGAATAAGTTTAATAATAATAAACCTTGCATTTGATATAGCACCTTATCACGTCATTGAGACGTCTCAAAGCACTTCACAGGATCCACTGTAAAGTGTAGTCACTGTGTGTTTTGTGGGCAGACTGGAAGCAAGTGTGGGATGAGCAAGTGTAAAGAGAAGGCTACCCTATTTCTGCTTTTTAAATTTTCTGTTTCTTTCTACCATTTAAAAAAAAGCCAATTGCAGTTGCTCACCTTCAGCCTTATCTGCAGTCTCTGGGTTCTTACCCAGGCCTCCGAGAACTCTGAACACATCGGAGTGAATGGCGTCCACTCGCACAGCGTAGATCTTAGCACTGGCATCCAACGTGCCGGCTGCCATCTGCAAACCATGAGTCAACAATATAATAGGATATAATAAGGCTGGCCATACCCCATCAGCCGGAACAAATTATTCCATTACATTATACAGAAAACAGAAGTCAGAGTCTTGGATTAAACAGGAGCCCAGAGTAGGAAGATAAGTAGGAACTGAACACGTTTCAGCACACTGTGACTCTCTAACCTTGAAGTTGATGAGTTCAGAGTCTCTCTCCTTGAGGAGGTCGGCCATGTAATCTATCAGGTGAAGACCAAAGGCATTCTTTGCGGTGATTTTCTACAAGAAAAAATAATACTAATAATCCTTGTATTCGGTATAGCGTCTTTCGTGTCGGGAGGACGTCTCAAAAGTGCCTCACAGGATTTAATACAAAGTATAGCACACAAATGCAAATTAGATTTGCTTTCAAAAGCAAATGAGATAGGTTTCTGTTAGGTAATAATACACAGTATATAGTTTGAGACACAACATGTCAAGCGGCTGCCAGGACAATGGAAGGCAAACAAGATGGACCTTGGTCTTCTTTTCGCCAGCAAATTCTTGTGTTCAAATGGGAAGCATTAAAGAGGCAAAGCTTCCTGTCGGAGCAAATCAAATAACATTTTAATATTCTAGATCCAAGAACTACAAATAGACAATATCTTTTTTTTAAAATGGAACAGTAACACACAGTTTCTTGGAGAAACATCCAATTGTAAAACTGAGCACAAATATCACTTGACTTACATTTTCGGAGCACAGTTTGATACAGGTTGAGTAATGCTCTGATATCTGGTTATTTGACAGAGTGGCATTGCAGAATTGTGGTGTGCTCCTGAAACAAACACACACGCACACAAACACAAGGTCAGGATCAGTTAGCCTCCTGGACAACACAGCAACAAGACTGTACGCAAGATTCAGGACACAATATGTGCCCATTGCACATTTTTCTAATAACAGACTGATGTCGTCACATTGGTGAAAACTAATCAGCCCAATCCCAACAATGCCAAAGTCATCGCATTACAACAACAACCACAAATGACATTTAGACATTTACACGGCGCCTTTCCCGTCAGGAGGACGTCCCAAGGCGCTGGACAGTCAGTGATTTGTTTCCGAGCTAGAGGTTGGGATCAGGAGGGGTAGAGAGAGGGCAGGGGTAGGAGAGTGACCTAAGGTGCTGTCAAAGATCTTCAGATGGGCCTTGAAGGAGTCAAGTAAGGGGGCGAAGGCAGAGAGACTGCAGGATGGGGTTCCAAAGGTGGGGGCAAAGAGGCTGAAGGTCCGGCTACCGATGGTGGGGCGGGCGGGGCCGGGCGGAACTTGGAGTGCACCATTTTATTATTTGACTTTATTCTTATTTTATTGCCACGGACGAGGCAAGTGGGGATCCCACCTCGTCGCCGGCGACACCAGAGGGCTCTCGGTGTTGCTCAGCTGGAGATCGATCAGCCTGGAGCGTCGCCGCTCTCTTCTCTCGCGTTCGTCGTCGTTCCCCGCCACGCTCAGCAGCATGGCGGCCCCGGCGCTCTGCACCGCTTGCCGCTTTGCGCCCGAAGACGCAGAGGCGCGCTCGGCCATCTTGTCCCCCTGGAACTGTGGGGTGGAGGTAGTCATCGCCACCTGTGAACCAAACACTCGCTGGTCAGCAGAGGCGCCGTCAAGTCAAGTCAAGTC